GTCCACCCAATAGCAGTCTTGTGTTCTTTCAAAACACATATTAATTTTTCTTCATCTTCCTGTAGCAATGAATTATTAATAATTACTGGATAAGTATCACCATTGCCAAGGTAGACATATTTCAAGGTGGGTGGAAGTTCTTTTAATTCTAACTTCGGAAATTCAGGTGTTTGGACAGTTGTTGTCTTATTTTCTTGAGATTCAAGGTCTAAAGATCCAGGCTCATCGTCGACGACAATATCAATTGCTTTTACAACTTCTTCCAACAAAGCTTCATTTAGCGGTTCAGGAGTTTGTAAAATCCTAGCAAATAATTCTGTAATTGTTGGTGCTGCATTAATTTCATCTGTGATTGCTGCTACAGCTTTGTCAATCACGTCGATTTGAAAACAGTCACCTTTTTCTTCTGGGCATTTCATGGCTTCAAAAACATTGACTGTAAATTGCTCACCATTGACCCTAAATAGAAGCTCTCCCTGCTCAACATCAATTAAGACTCTAGCTGTGGCTAAGAAAGGTCTTCCTAAGAGAAGAGGTACTTCAGTATCTGCTTCCATATCTAAAACCACAAAATCTGCAGGGAAAATATAGTCATTTACTTTTACCAACACATCTTCAACCACTCCTTCAGGCCTCTTTATAGATCTGTCTGCCAATTGCAATGACAGAAGTGTGGATTTTAGTTCAGTGATTCCCAAAGATTTGGCAAAGGATAGTGGCATCAAGTTGATGCTCGCCCCTAAGTCGCACAATGCCTTACCCACATGAACATTCCCGATAGTGCAAGAAATGCTGAAACTACCAGGATCTTGAAGCTTTGGTGGTATTTTCTTTTGAATAATAGCACTGCATTCCGCTGTCAAAGACACTGTTTCCATTTCTTCTTTAAGCTTGTGCTTTCTTGAAAGCAAACTTTTCATAAACTTTGCATAACTTGGCATATTTTCTAAGGCTTCAACGAATGGAATATTTATTTGCAGCTTTTTAAACATTTCTAAAAATTTAGAATACTGTTGCTTTTGTGCTGATTGTTTCAGCCTTTGAGGATATGGGGCTTTAACATACGGGTTGTCTCCCAACGCTTTCATTCGTTCTTCCAAAGAAGGCTTCTTTACGATTTTTTTACGTGGGGTATCATTTAATGGTCCTCCAATAATTGTGACATCTCTATCAACATGACCATCAACATTTTCTTCAGCAGGCTTTTCTTTTTCTGAGTCGTTTTTACTGCTTGATGCAATGGTAGTCTTTTCTACAGGTGTGATTACGATTCCACTTCTTGTAGTTATAGCTTTACACTGTCCTTTAGGATTAACGATTGTGTCACTAGGAAAATTACCTGGAGGTCTTTCGGCCATCTGTCTAGCAAGCTGACCGATTTGATTTTCCAGATTCTTTATGGAAGCTTCTTGATTCTTAAAAGATGCTCTCGTTTCTTCTGCGAAATTTGTTTGAGATTGAGTCATCTTTTCAAATGCAACTTCCCAAGCGGCTTTCTGATTAGGTTGATCTTGTTGGAAATTTGCATTATTTTGTTGATGCCCAGATTTGTATGACAGACCAGGATGGTTTCTCCAGCTCGGATTATACGTATTTCCATAAGGATTTTCTCTCCTCTGGTTATTCCAGATTCCATGAACCTGAGCCGGATCAATCGTTACTGTAGCGTCACAGTTTTCAGGAGTGTGTGGTCCACCACAAGTGTCGCAAACTACAGGAAATTGCGAATTAACCGCAGAGATTTGATTTTGGGTAAAGAGTTTAACAAGTGAATCCAACCTTTGATCCATCTTGTCTTGTTTGGCTAACATAGCGTCGTACCCATCTAACTGCAACACTCCTTTCTTAGGTTGAACTGGTGTGACATCGTTGTCTTCAGATGCCATCTTCTCAATTAGTTCAATAGCCCTTGTGGGAGTGATTTCTCCGATACTCCCTCCAGCTGCAGCGTTAAGAAGTACTCGATAAGTTGGAGTAACTCCTTTGTAGAAAATTCGGACCTTCTCGCCATTAGATAAAACGTATTGGGGACATCTCCTGATTAGTTCTTTAAATCTTCCCCATCCTACGCACAGAGATTCGCCTTCGAGTTGCTTGAAGTTGTCAATTTGTTCCTTCAACTCAGAGAATCGGGATAATGGGAAGAACTTCTTTTGGAATTTCTCAACCAAATCTTCCCACGTGGAGATGCTATTAGCAGGTTGCAATTCCAGCCAATTAAGTGCTCTTCCTTTTAAAGAAAAGGGAAACATCATCAAACGGATTTCTTCAGGAGGAACCCCATTAGCTTTGATGAGGCTGCACAATTGTAAGAATTTAGTGATGTGGCGGTTTGGGTCTTCGATCGGGTCTCCTTCGAATAGATTACTTTGAATTAAATTCAGGAAAGAGGCTTTTATTTCAAAGTTGTTGGCATGGATTTGAGGTCTCCTAATACTCGCAGTTGGATGCGAGAAATTAGGGTTTAAGAAGTGACTCATCAGTTCTTCAGGTGGATTTTGGTTATCTTCCGCCATGACTAGTCCTTCCGCAGAGTTGGAGCTCGATGCTTCTCGTGTCTTCTTTGCGGTCAAACGTTTCCTATTAGTTCTTTCTAAACGTCCTAACTCCGGTTCGTACTGTAGGTCACTGGGATTAACAGTGCCTCGCAAATGCATAAACCAGAAAACTAAGGCTCAGTGGACCAACTAACGGAAACCACTAACTAAACAGAAATTTTTTTAAAGCAAACAAATTAAAATAAAATAACTAAAATAACAATAAAAAACAATAAGATATTTAAACTAACACAGTAAAATAAATAACAACAAAATAAAATGATCCAATCTATAATTTGATAGATAAAATTAATGTTGATTAAATCAGTCCCCGGCAACGGCGCCAAAAACTTGTTGACGAACTCGGCAAGTGCACCGGTCGTACAAGTAATAAAGTGATAAAGTAGAGTTGTCGATCCCACGAGGACTGATCACCAAGCAATAATCTATTTATTTAATTAAAGTTGGATCTATCATTAAGGGTTTTCTTGAGAATATTGTGATTAAAGTAAAACAGAATTTATAAACTTATTTTTGGTTTTTAATATTTTAGAGATTTAATTCAGAATTAATTAAAGCTAAAAGAAATTGATTTAAGTTTTCAATAAAAAGGCGTAGTTAGGATTCAACTTCCCCAATGGTTTCTTAACATGTTTGTCTATTCTCACGGTTACATTCAAGATTGAATTATTAACAATTCTTTCTATGATTGATTAAATCCCAATCCCTTGGTAATCCAATCCTTTACTCTAATCCAAAGCCTAATCCCTTAGTACTTTCTCATAGAATAAGCATTAACGCAAGAACTCAAGTTATAAAATTCACAAGTCTATCCCTAGATCATGCAAATTCCAGCAATCAACCAATCGGAATCACATACCAACATCCCTATTGTCATATGTGACTCGTATGTTTATCTATGAGTGATCAAGTCATAAATAAAACTAGTCATATATATCCGATTGATTGCATAATTCAAAGACAAGAATATAATTCATAAGAATAAACAGACATCAACTAAGAACCCATTGGTTCTGTATCTTCCTAACTACTAAAAGTAATTTAGCCTAACATACTCATAAAGACAGAATTAAAATCTACTGTAAAAGAAACTGAGTTCATGGTAAACTTGTCTAAAAGTGATGATCAATGGTGCAGAGTTGACTCCTTCCTTCTCCTCTGCCACGATCCAGTGCTACGCTTATGCTCCTTCCTTCGCTTCGTCTCAAGTGCCTTCTTTCTCCGCGTTCCAGAATTCCCTTTCACAGCTTCCATCGCGTTGTATTTAAAGGGAAAATATGGGCTTTAATTTCCTGGATTCGCTCGCTCCATCAGTCGCCTATGCTAAGAACTTTGCGAGCTGCTCGCCCACTTGCTCGCTTTAGCTAGGAACTTTGCGAGCTGCTCGCCCACTTGCTCGCTTTAGCGAGCAATGGAGCGAGCGTTACCAATTTTATTTTATTTATTATTTAATCTCTGATTTCCCCGTTGCTCCGCGTATTCGTTGCCTCATTTTGTTACTTTGTTATTCCAGTATTCCATTCTCAACAACCTGAAACAACAACAAATATTTAAAATTTGTTTATTTGTTGGCAATTCATTCTGTTTTACTGTTTTATTGTTTTAATACTATATTTTTAACTATTTTAATAATTATTTAAACTCTTTTTAGCCATAAAAACATAGTGTCTTAGACACTTATCAGTGCAATTCACTACTACTAAACAATTGTGTGATGGGGTAAAGAATTCTATTATTCATTCAGCCTATTTTTAAATGATGTGTATCCTTATGATCTAACCAGATGATAGATGAACCAGCTTATAAAATTTGGCAAGTTTGTTCTTATTTTTTCAACATTGCTTGCTATAAAATCCCACCACTTTCACCTCTGGTGATTTGGGGTAGAAATTGTGCATGACCTGTGTAAATCAATCCAGATCACTCATTGTCACTTTAAAAGCATCAAACGCTCATCTCTAAGGACAGGCCCATGCAAAATATCACGGTCATTTCTCGTTAGTTGCCCATCATTAACGCACCCTTGGACAGGCTCTCGCTTCAAAATGTTTGTGTCTTGTGAGGATGGTGCTTTAGAATTTAAGAAAATGTACAATTTCGATCAACAATGAGTAAAAGGATACATTAATAATTTATGAAATTTCACTTGGAATGTACAAAAGAATATTGTGTTGTTTGAATACACAAATTACAATATAAGTAAATTTCGACCCAATTTAATAAAAAGAGAAAAGTGCGTATCATTTTAAATGACACAAGTTGTGTCATTTCATTAGGCACAAAGAGAAATAAGTTCAATTGAAAAAAAATCAAGACAAAAGAAATAAATAAAGATGTGAGTTTCACCTGTGTCTATGAAATGACACAACTTGTATCATTTAAAATGAGATACACATTTTCCTTAATATAATCGACACAATAGAGGGTAGCATAGGAGAATGATTAAAGGCCAGAAGTGAATGGGACACCAGTGGAAGGCAACCATGTGCGGCCAGCAAGGAGGTTAGCAACGGTGAAGAGTGACGCATCAGTTGGGCTGGTTATAACATGAAAACCAGGCCATCGAACCCTGTTTCTAGTGGATGAACCAGGCCCAAAATTCTTGTACTCTCCATAATAGAGAGTACTCTGAGCAAAAGTAGTACCATCCCATGGGGACCAACCCGTTGGGTTCACCAAGCTATCCATGAACGATTTCATGATAACCACTCTTGAATATTTTTGCCAAGGCCGGCCCAGGAAAGTGTTGAAGTTCGAAACAACTGGCTTGAGATCTGGAGCAGCCTTTATCTGAGAATTGTGAATTGAAATTCCTGTGTTTTGAAATGGATCATCTCGACCTTGAGCAGTGATCATGTTTCCTTGACCATTTACAGGCCTTCTCACAAGAATCACACAGTTTTGAAAAACAACTGCAGCATTCCCAAATATGAAGTCAACGGTTCCATAAATGTAGCATCCTCGGTAAAATTGTCGCTGTGCGTGAACCATGAGCGTGTCTTGGTAACCTTCGATGGAACACCGGTAGAACACAGAAAGATCAGATGCTGATCGAAGTGCCACCGCTTGACCCTTCGCAGGACCCGCGGTGTTTCGAAAGGTAATGTCACGTGCTATGAAGTGAAGACCATCAATTCCTGAAATTTTATAATTCAACAATATCAAAATCTATTGAATTTTTATGTAGGGATGTATTTATCTTCCATAATATTTTTATGTTATGCGACAGAGATAAGATAATAGAATCCATAATTTATTTAAAGAATGCGATATATTTTTCTTATGTTAGAGGAAAAAAATTATCTCATTTTGTAGAAATAAAAATATAAGTGGGATCCATAGGTAAGAGAAGAGAAAAAAAGAGAGTGGTGAGACCCAACTTCTGTTTGTGTGTGTAAAAAAGTTGTTTATCTCATGTAAAATGACCCTTAAACATAACCCTTAAAGAATTTTACTACCTTGTCTCTATTGAATAAGATGATAAGATAATATGATTCACAATTACCTTATGCAATGTAAGATAATAATAATAGTTCAGTTAGTGTATGAGAGTTGATTAGGTGGGGCTGAAAGTATGTATTAATCCTCTATAGTATACTATCATTTTTAGAAAAAATTTAAAACTTTAATCCTGAATCTTTCGTAACAGGATTGAGTCGTGTGGAGTATACATAATTTATAATAAAAATAAAAATAAAAATAACATAATGCAAATCCAACATAGAAAAGTAGGAACCTACCTGCTGTTGCAGAGCTAAAGGTTGTAAAGCCACCTTGAACGCTTCTGCCACTTGTTATTATGGTGGTTCTCATGCTATCACCAACCAACATGATGTTGTCGTTGGTCATGTCAACCTCAATATTCTCTCTGTAAACTCCTCTCTTTACATGTATAACAAACCTCGTCTTGAATCTTCTCCTTGCCGCTGCATTAATAGCAGCTTGGATTGTCTTGAAATGCCCTGAACCATCTTTGGCTACCACGAGATTGGCCTTTATTGAAGAAGACTGCAACAGCTTCCTCTCATTCGTGGAAAACCAACTTGGATAACCATATTCCGTATCTTCTGTAGTATAAGGAACTGCTTCGTGTTTCACGAAAGCCCAATTCACGGATAAGCTATTGCTTATAATGGCTGTCACATTGGTTCTCGCAGGGGACGCGATGCAATCTGGAACGCTTAAGTCTAATGCCCCGTTTCGACAGGTTTCGATGTTTGTAAGAGAAGTGCTAAGCCATGTTTGTGCATCAAATAGTGAAAAGCTTCTCTTCACATGAAGGCCTTGAAAGGTACGATTTAGCTGGAAGATGGTGTTATCATAGAGCTTCAAACAATCATCCAATACGGATTTCTGCTTCTTGTTCCCCGGGTTTTGCTTGAGATCGTGTGCTTCCTTGTGCATGATAATCGCTCTATCTAAGGCCAACTCAACCAGAATTGTACGGAATTCGGACTTGTGTTTGAATGTGTAACGGTTGTGGCTCTGTCTCATGTTGTATTTGCATGGCTCAGGGTGTGGTGTTTGGTTGCACCACCAGTCTATGTTGCAGCTCGAAGAAGATCTTCTTCTTGCTGAGGCTATTGATAAAACTGATGACAACAATAACAGCGTCAACAATATCTTTTCCATGATTGCCATTTTAGTGCTGCTTTTCTCTTTTCTTGATTCGGGTTCCGAGCAGTTAATATATATATAGAGTGGGGTTTTCTTAGATGGATATTGAGTGTGAAGAAGGGTAAATGAGTTGCCGGCTAAATTGAAAAAGAAAATGAAGAATGACAGAGATGAAATATGTTAATGCAATTGCAAGAAATATATTTTTATCTTCTTAATATATATATAACACACAAATATGAAGAATAAGCTCTTTCCTTTTAAATGATATATAGGTGAAGCTTTCCAACATGTAGCTAAACAACATTAGGCCTCATAGCCTGTTTCAGGGAAATATATTGAAGGAAGAAAAGGAGCCAGAATAAAAAAATTCAGATAGAAGAGTTAATCTTATTGCTTGAATGTGCATGGATGCTTCCGTATCGGCACATATAGCGGAAGTCGAATTGAAATTGCAAGAAAAACAAAAGTATCTTGCATACTAAATTCCTAAATAAGTTTAATTGTCAACGCAGTTATGACGGCGATGACTAGAAATAGATCACAGAAAAAACCAGGATTTGAGGAAAGTGGTTGAGTTGGCCTCAAGTTGAATACTTGCTCCGTACATGTGCACGATGCTGCGAAAGCAAATTGTTTATCTTCACTTTGCTTAATGGATTAGACTTTTTCTTCAAGTATATGGGACGCAACAGTTTCTTGGAAGGGAATAAGCATCTTCACCCTGTATTCGGATGCGTTTTGTTCAAGCAGGACGGAAAATAAGGGGCAACCTCATGTGCTGTAGTTAATAGTTTGCAGAATAAGCAAAAGTTTTTTTTTTTCTTTTTTTTTTTGGGGGGTAAAGTAATAATATATTAATATGAACAACTTTGTCAAGACAATATTTCGATGGTCGTGCTAACATATTCACGTGCCAATGCGTTCAAATGATTTGGTTTCATTTTTTGTTTTTCAGTGAGATCTGTTTCTTTCTTTTATTTTTGGCCTTGGTCTTCCGAATTTTTATAGCAGAGCAAAAGATACCTTAAGGTTGGGATATTGAAAATCTTGATGTCAGTGAAAAAAAATTATTATTTTAATAAAAATTATGAAAATATAGTCATTTTCATTTGAACTAATTTACGGATCTATTGCACTCAATTTCATTCAATTTGGGTGAAAGACCTAGGGGCTAGCCTAATTTAGGCTAAACTAGCATCGCCCCATTTGGGCTAGACTCAGCAATCTTATATATACCTTATTTTTTCACTTTTTTCATTTCACACTATCTTTCTACATATATATACCTTAGATTGAACTCGAACCATCGTTATATGATTCTTTTTCGCTCGAATGATCTTAATCAATGAATGTGTAATGTGATATTTCATCCCAAAAAGGAATAACATCCTCTTGCAAGTAAGAATTAGTACTAGTAACAAAAAGAAAAAATATATAAACAAAACCATATATGCATATATATGAGTTACTTACTAGCATACCTTCATAATATTGTCGTAATGAGTCGAGCCCATGTCAGGATTTTCCGAGACTTGAGATTCCCCTCGATCATGATATTCATGGATTTGAGTCGCTAGCAGACCACGATCCTCATCATTGTCCGAAGCACTAGCATCCTCAGCAAAAAAACAATATTCCATTGCGATATTTTACTCATCGTTATCATCATAATCGTCATCCATAACCTAGGTAGTGTCATTTTAATCTTCCTCAGACATGTTAACAATTGAAGCAACATATGATGATGCATTACGTGGAGAATTTAAAGCAACTGACCTCACGGACAAAACAACTTCATCTGCTCCGGCAATATTCACGTACAACTCTAATAAATATTTCCTTGACTGGTTGAAGAATTCTTCCATTACCATGTCTACGTCTTCATCATCCACAACTTGCAAACTAATGTATTGTTTAGATTGCTATAAACTTGTCGTGACCAGAGTTATAGATTGGTTATCTTCCAGAGCCAACTTTTGACGATTTCTTTGATGTAGTTCACCAATTATTGAGTTGCGCTTGATATGTGTTGGCTTTTTTTCCTCTTCAAAAATTACACCACGTTGATCTTCCACTTTTCTACCATTATAATATAAAACAATACGAACAGAATTAGAATGTGAATTCATTCTTAAATATATAAACAAAAAACACAAAAGAGAGTATAAATAAGCAAGTGAAAAGTGAAGATTTATGATGGAGAAGAGTTGTGAAGAGTGTGAAGAGGAGAAGGGTTTAAATAGAGATAACTGGGACAATCACGCCCAGATTAGGTATGTTAAAGACTTGGTCTCGCCTAAAAAAGCCTTATTAGTGTGCTAAGTCTAGCCTAAATGGGGTGAGACTAGTTTAGCCTAAATTAGGCTAGACTCCCTTGGATATTTCGCCCAAGTTTGGTGAGACTACTTTTGTCTAAATTGGATGAAATTAAGTACAATAAATTTGTAAATTGATTCAAAACGGCAATATTTTCATAATTTTTTATTAAATTAATATTATATTAATTTTTTTTGCCCTCAATGTCACCATACAATGGCCAAAAAATGGACCAAAAAAGGTAAAATCTCATTACCCCTCTATTCTATTCCGGAATGAAATAACTTTATGCCTAATACACTCCCAAAATAAAATAGAATTAAACTGCAATAATTTCTAGTTTCATCAAATGGCAACAGAAAAAAAAAAAGATTATAGATTATAAGAGAATAAAATTATCCTTCATCCCATACTTTTAAAAAAAAAATATATATTTTTCTTCTATATATTAGTAAGAGTTAGCTAATGACGAGTAATCTGCAGGAGCTTTTAAGTTTGAGATTACAAAAAAATAAAATAAAATAAAACGTAAAACTACTAAACTTTGGTATATTTTGAAGGATCTTTTGACATTAGTATCAAACTAAAAAGTATAATATCAAATTTTAACTGTTGATTTCTGCCAATCTAACGACAATAATTTATTGAGAATTATTGAAAATTAATAATCAATTAATAAATGTAACATAATAAATTATAACCGTTAATTTCACGGAAATCAACGGTTAAGATTTAATGTCAAACTTTTTAGTTTGAAATCGATGTTAAAAAATCTTGTCCTTTATATATATATATATATATGGGGTTTGTTTTTCTCATGTTGCATGAGAAAACAAACCATTCCTACACACACCATAAAAAGTTGTGCCACTTATTTTTTTATTTTGTTTTCTTTAAATAGGTGGGTCCTACACATGATGTATCTTTGACATGAGATTAGAATCTCATACAACATAAGATTTATTTTTCCCTATATATATATATATATGGTCAGGATCATTTTACACCAGTGTAAGTTACACTCTCAATCTTGCCCACTGATTCCATTTATATCTAAGGGCTCAAATTTTGTAGTAATGTGAGCCATTGGATACAAGTGGATCAATAATCAAGATTGAGTGTAAGACTTCTAACTCTTACACCGGTGTAAGAATATCCTTCCCCATATATATATATATATATATATATATATATATATATATATATGAGATTTACATTTCTGCAGCTGCTGTACGTGCAGCAATCAAATACTTGCCATATATATATTTGAAAATATTAAATGCAGGGAATTATAATCATACAAAGGATGAAAGTATTAAATGTGGGGAATCATAACCATACACATGTCGCTGTTGTACGTAAAGCGGCTGCAGAAATGATTTTACCTATATATATATAGGAAAAATGTTTATCCTTTTAAATGACACAACTTGTGTCATTTCACTCTCATAAAGAGGTGGGACCCACATTTTTACTCTTTTGTCAACTCTCTCTTCTCCTTTATCTATCTCTTTCTCTCTCTTAAAATGACACAACTTTACATCCTTTAAAATGACACACACTTTTTCATATATATATATATATAGAGGTAGGATCCTTTGACACCAGTGTCAAATTTGAAATTTGACACCTCATCTGAGAGTCATTAGATCAAAAAAGATCAACGACTCTGACTTGTAAGAATGTGACACAATTGATCTTTTTTGATCTAACGGCTCTCAGATGAGGTGTCAAACTTCAAATTTGACACTGGTGTCAAAGGATCCTACCTCATATATATATATATATATATATATTTCTTCTTTTACATGAGATAACTTTATGTTCTGCAACCTCAAAATGACTTCGTTTTGATGTTTAGAATAAGAAATAAAGGGTATTTTGAAAATTTTAGAAATTTTACTTTCCTATTGTAAAATATATTTTACTAAATTACTCTTTATTTTTTATTCTAAATTCCAAAATGACATCATTTTAGGATTGTGGAAAATAAATTTATCTCTGTGACAGAAGAAATATTATATATATATATATATATATATATATATATATATATATATATTATTTAGATCAATCATGGCAAAAAAAAAAAGATTACAATAGGAAACTGTGAATCTGTGATATTTAATGGTTTGTATAACGATTTCAGACAGTGTTATTGACTTATGTAATAGTGTAAAAAATATCACTAAAATTTAGTAATGAAGAACTTAAGAAATTTGCATGAGATTTGTAGGTTTAAATCTTATGATTATCCAATTAGTTATATAAGAGGCTCTAAAGATTGTAAAGATGTTCCCTTGTAAATATTATTTTTTTTTTAAAAAAATTGTCACTCCACCTTGTCAATTTAAAAGTAACCTGCTTATTGATATTGGGCTCTTGATATCAGACCAGGTAGAAAACGTACAGTTTCATTATTGATGGGCTTGGCACGGTTCGTAAAACATATTAAACTTCTAAGATGCACCCAATCCTTTTTTATTAAAAAAACACCCATCTGGTCAGTCTGTTTGAGGGGGAAAAAAAAAATGTTCCTTGAGACAATTTTTTGAGGCATTCTCACAAAAGAAATACATCTAATTTTTTTAGATTCACTTGTTGGCCGCTCAATGATTCATAATATTATGGAATTCCCAAAAAAATAATATACAGGGGTAGTATATACTAAAGAATGATTTGAAAGTCGAAACATCAGCAACCAAAAGATAAGAGATTTTAAGTCCTCGACAATGTTTGGCAATTTTGGACACACTACTAGTTTGGCCATAGCCTTGTTAACTAGCCACATATTAAGAATGTCTCATGCATAAATTTATTAACGATATCAAGCATGAAATTGACTTTCTGACTTGTCATAAGTTGATGCATATATTTAAAATTAAACACAACAAAGATTTGTGGATTTAAATGCACATTTACATTAAGTTCAAAGGCCACGCACTATTTTTTTTTTTTGGGTACAAAAGGTCACTCACTTTATCCCCTTGCAATTAAAAGATTAAAAAAGTTATTGCAAATAAACCCTTAGATTGGTAGGATTACATAATCACGATTGTAATCTTCTGGAGAATTATATAGACCGTTACACAATGAAGCTGATATTTACCTAAAACTGCTATTGAATTGAGTAGTTTGTTAAGAGGTGTGCTTCCTCATATTTATGTACACGTTTTAAACCTTATTTATCAAGAACTTTTTCAGTTTGATTATATTCTTTTAATACTCAAACTGTGATAAAGTCGTGGGTTCTAAGCAATAATAAGTACACAAAAAACTAAAACAAATCGAGAAGGCTTCCTTAATTGCTTTTCAACTATTTTTTTTTTTTTTTATAATAAAAGCCGTCCCTTTAAAAAAGACTTTTCCATCTTTCTCTTTGAAAGAAGATACTTGTATTGAGGACAACCATAGAATGTGGGAAAGGCCAAGAGAAAAACATCGAACTGGGACGTTTATGAGAATGTATGTGTGTTTTGATTGATCAAAAAATGAAGTGTAGCCGAAGTAGAACTTAATTTAAGTAAAGAGTCAGCATTAGAAGTAAAATCGAAACCATTCTAATGCTTTCGAACTAACATTCACCCACTTCATACGCACGCCATTCAACCACGGAAGTGCCTCCCTCCTTTTCTGTATGATCATTCTCTCTCTTTTTCTGATTTGTATATCATGTTTGTTCTATCCTCTTAAGCAAATGCTTGTTCTTTAAGATAATCATAATTCGTACACTTCACTACCTTATCCTTTTCATAAATGTATGCTTATTTGAAGCCCATTATTATGCATATAACCATGCCCTCTTCCTTGCAAAGTACTTAAGAGGGAAACGAGAAGCTTAGGTTTGAGAGAGGATGGGTTTCACGCAAAGGTTGCTGATGATACTGGTGGGTACCTTGTTGGGTGTAACAGAAAGAAGTGTGGGTTGGCAGCATAATTATGGAGAAGCATTGTCAAAGAGTATCTTGTTCTTTGAAGGGCAGAGGTCAGGGAAGTTACCACCAACACAGAGGATGACTTGGAGGAAGGATTCTGCCCTTCAAGATGGTTTTCAAGTTGATAGTACTCTCTCTCATTTCTTTGATAAAGTAACTTTGTCTTTACTTTTGTTGCTCTTTATCTAAATTTTCATGGCTGCCTTTACCGTTTACATTTTGACTAGATTTAATTAGCCTAATTGGGCATTGTCATTGTATTGGGATGGTTGTGTTCATTTTGAACACAGAAAAGGCACAATACGTAACTTAACCATAGTCTTGGTATTTGAGGGGGGGAAAACTCAACTGAGAAAGAAATTAAATAAACCCATTTTATTTTTTTTTAAGTACTCGAAGGGTCTTTTATATTTAGCTTACAAAGCCTAGCCAACAGATGTGTAATGTGTTCTCTGTTGTTCAAGACTCAATTTAAAATAAGTGAGTTAAATTTATGTATTTTCGATGCAAGTCTTTCACAAAGGAAAAAGGCACGCCATTTCAATTTTTTTTTTTTATTAAAAACTTTTAATCATTTAATGAAACATGTGACATCATATTACTAGTAATACTATAAAATTTTATATATCAGGTACAATCAAAATTAAGTTTTATAAACTATGTGAGACTTAATAAACAGAGTGACTTGAGCCATCTCGAAATAATGGCTCTTAGCTGTCTCATAAGACAAGGGGTTGGGATTCATTTAAAGCTACACAGTACAGTTTTAGAAATTTTATTTTAAAATAAGGGAAAAATATGAAACATGGAAATGCTCTTTGCTTTAATTTTTTTTTTTTTTTTTATCTATGATTTTTATATAACTTAAGAACATGATTTCCGGATGACCCATCTACAAAATAGGTTGACTTGGTTGGTGGTTACTACGATGCTGGTGACAACATCAAATTCAACTTTCCTATGGCATTTTCAACAACAATGCTGGCCTGGAGTGTAATAGAGTTCGGAAAATTCATGGGTCCAGACCTAAAACATGCGCTGGACGCTATTCGTTGGGCCACAGACTATTTCCTTAAAGCCACAAGCATCCCCGGGTTTGTGTTTGCGCTAGTTGGTGACCCATATGCTGATCACAATTGCTGGGAGAGACCTGAAGACATGGACACTCCTAGAACAGCCTATGCTGTTAGCAGGGAACACCCTGGCTCTGAAGTTTCAGCAGAGATAGCAGCAGCACTTGCAGCCTCTTCCATTGTATATAGGAAATATCATCTTGGTTATTCTGCTAGGCTTCTCCAAAGGGCTATAATGGTATATACCATACATCTTTTCTTATAACATATAAGTTGGAAAAAGTTATATTTACTATCATTTTAGTCTTATTATTTTTATTACCTAATTGGTTTTCGGTAGATTAATTTGAAATCACCAGTTAAAAAATGAGAAAAATTAACATTTGCTGATTTGAAAACAGGTAGTAAAAATAATAAAACTAAGGGTAAAACTAATCTTATGTTGCATAAGATAGTGTACCTTATGTTGTGAAACAAAATTAAGATAGGACCCACTAAAAAAGAAAAAAGAAAAAAAATAAGATGGATCCCATTTTCATTTTATTTCACAACATGAGATACACTATCTTATGGAATATAAGATTAGTTTTACCCTAAAACTAATGGTAATAAATATAATGGTCTTAGTAATTTGGTTGTATATTATTGGAGCTTTAATTTTAAGAAAATAATTATCTCATGTAACAGAGACAAAGTAGTGGGATTCACATTATTTTTTATTTTTTATATTTTTTAACTAATAGTGGACCCCACTATCTTGTCTCTGTTGCATGAGATAATTATCTCATGCAACATGAGATTAATAGATCCCTTAATTTTATAGAGTTTTTCCTTTTCTATGGAATTAGGTTTTTGAATTTGCAGATAAGTACAGAGGATCATACAATGACAGCCTCGGACCGTGGGTATGCCCATTCTATTGTGATTTTAGCGGCTACCAGGTAGGCCTGGTCTTGAATCATTGATTAATTGTTTGACATATTTTTCATTCTTTAAAGAAATATACTTAAAAAAGTGACTTGTCAATGATAGGACGAATTGGTCTGGGGAGCAGCATGGTTGTTCAAGGCTACTAAGCTCCCTTATTACTGGGATTACATTGATGAAAACATCAACAATCTGAAAAACTTTGGTGAATTTGGATGGGACTCAAAGGAAGCTGGCATCAACGTGCTCGTTTCAAAGGTATATTATTCGAGCATAACTTTCTTCTTTTAACCTTAACTATTTTTTATTTTCTTTTTCTTTTGGTTTATATTTTACGCCGTGTGGTAATGCTTTTGTTCTGGCTAATAATTTTTCTTTCTAATTACCATTAACAGCTTCTAATTAATAGTAGCTCTTCTAAGCCTTTCAACCTCAATGCGGACAAGTTTGTCTGTACTGTGCTACCTGAATCGCCTTCAGTATCAGTCTCATACTCTCCAGGTAAAATAATTACTCATAATCATCCAAAGTATATATATATAAATACGGCCACCTTATGATTATCAAGTTTATATTACTGGATCTCTGAAACCATAGGTTTTTGAAACTGTGTGTCTGTCTGTATGTAAATTCATATTTTGTAGTGATGATTGATCTAAACTGTTTTCAACATATATAGGTGGGCTTATATTCAAGCCTGGTGGGAGTAACTTGCAGCATGCAACAGCAATCTCATTTCTTTTTCTGGTTTATGCTGGCTATTTGAATAAAGCAAATAAAGAAATTGACTGTGGCAGCAATGTTTTTGCTTCTCCAAGAAGACTTAAACAAGTAGCAAGAGGCCAGGTATGTGTAGCAATAGCAACTGCTTTTATGAGATATATCAGAGAAAAATCACAGAGGAAGAGCTGGGGGTTTTCAGAGAAAGAGAAGTGAAAGAGAAAAGAAACGAGAGGAAGAGTTGAGTAGTTTTCTTCCATGTATTCCCAATTACATATAAACACGTAAAAGACGCAACAGTAAGCAATTAAATTAGACAAAACACATTAACATGGTGCATACGTGGAATCAACAATAATGCTTGGACTCCCTTTTTATGGACTAACTGCTACAGTATGAAATTTTTAGATTATCAAATTAGATTCAATTAATTACCAGATAACAAGTGGTGTGGTCATTGTAGTTGAGAAGTAAGGTGTGAATTAAATTGGAAAAGATCCTCTTTATGTGATATGGGTTCATGCAAAATGTAATATCCCGCGCGCTGACGAGGGCGGGGAGTGATCGTCGGTGCGAAAGGGCATGGTGCGAAAGGGCACAAACAAGGAACGGCTCCTGGCAGGCTTCTAGGGACGGGGGTACATGAATGAATCGAATCAACACCCGAAAGAGAGGGATTCCATAGATTGTGCTAGTATGGGACGGTACAGTTGGGAATGACTTATAAGAATTAATTGGTACTACCTATACTAACAAGATGCATCTACTTTTCGGTAGCCCGAAACGGAAGAACTCCATAGTTAAGCGTGCTTGACTTGGAGCAATTCTGGGATGGGTGACTTACTGGTAAGTTTTCCCGGAAGCATGCGAGTGAGGACAAAGCACGCTGAAAAGTCTCGTATTAGTGTGTGGGGACAGTCGTTGATCCTTGCAAGTTGCCAGGCGTTACACAAAATAAGCTTAGCCTCTCATATACAAATTAATGGGTGATGGCAGAATGAATTGCAATAAATCATGGAAAAAATATTGTTGATTTGTATATGACAAGTGTGATCTTCCTACACAATCTTCTCTCATATAAATAATATATTCCTAAGTTAAATATAGGTGTAGAAGTCTTATAATCAACTGATAGATGTTGTTCTTATAGATTAACCAATAGTCTTGAGTTCGAATGATATGTATGTAGTTGTCCTAGATTAATTAAAATTAATAAGTTGATCAAGAAATTCAAAATTAAACATAAAATAATAATAAAAAATAAAGGGAGAATTACAAAAGTAAAAACTATTCTTAAACAAAAACTTTAGGTAAAAATATAGCGTTAAATTTATTTATATTGTTCTTCACTAAGTCTATTAGTAGGAGTTATTAGTAAATTATTTGAGTTTGACTTGCTAAATGTCTTGACCAACAAAAAAAAAACTAATTTCAGATTAAATAAATTATCGATAAAAATATTTATAATTTAAAAATTTATAATTTTACCTAGAGAAAAATAATTATTTAATTTTGTATGTTCAAATATTAAATTCTTTGGTTTTTTATTTTTTGTTTTACTTCTTCTTTTAGTATGAAATTATCTATTAAATATTAAATTAATTAATAAATTTAATAATATAGATCCTCTTGTGTCAAGTCCTCCTTTATTATGTGAATTGAAAATATATGGGAAGACTTATCGCCTAACACTATTACAATAAGATTGGCTATTATTAAGATATATTATTATTAAATAATTAAGTTTTTCTTACGCTAAAAGGGGTGTGTGTGTGTGTTTTTAAGATTCAAAAGAAAAAAAATAAGTTCTTGGTGAACCAAAAAAATAAAAATAAAAACTGAAATTGCAATGTCATCAATAAATTGTAAAACGATTTGGACTAATTAGTATTAATTTATTTTTCTACTTTTTAAGTTTTAAATTCATGTAAATGCAGGTGGATTACATACTAGGAAGCAATCCATTGAATATGTCATACATGGTAGGATACGGGCCAAAATATCCTGAAAGGATACATCATCGCGCGTCGTCATTACCTTCCATTGATCAGCACCCTAGCCACATCGATTGCAAAGGAGGGTCCCCCTATTTTGAAAGCCAAAACCCTAATCCTAACTTGCTCGTTGGAGCTGTTGTGGGGGGACCTTATATCAATGATTCATATGCAGATTCTCGAATAGATTTTGTACATTCAGAACCTACGACATACATCAATGCACCTCTTGTGGGTGTTTTGGCTTACTTCCAATCACATCCATCCTAAAGTCAAACTTTTGTGTTTACTATAGCATATATACAAAATTAATTTGATCATTTTAGGATGGATTAGTAAGCACATAAATTTCGACTTTAGGATGGATGTGATGTGAAGTACCAAAAAAACATCCATCCTATACCATAACAACATTGTTCTTAAAATCTCGATTTATCATTACGATTTTACATTTTTACGATTTTTTTCATCAAAACGATTTTACTAATATTTCAAACGCTTTTACAATTTTTTTACATTATGATTTTACGTTTTACGATTTTTTAATCCCCTTCCGATCTTACTTAAGATCTCGATTTTAACGATATTTAATTCCATATGATAAGTCTTTCTTAGCAATCTCAACTCAAGTGCCTCAAGCCCTTTGATTTTACTAAACTCGGCGTTTTTTTATTTTTTATTTTTTTGTTGAGAATGCTTCATTTTAACAAATGTGTATATTTGTCAAGAGTAACTAATGCATTAATTATGATATTTAATTTTAGATTTAAAATTTAATAGTTAATTTTATATGAATTAAGAATATTAAATTTTAAATCTATGCATTTATTATTTAGTATTAAACATGCATACTTTAATTAATTAGTTTCTTTCAAATAATAAGAAAAACATTTATTTTAAATTAAAGTATCTGTAGATTTTTTTCTTTATATATCCCATATCAGTTATATTTTTGGAAATTAATGAATGATATAAGATATGCTTGAACTATTACTTTATTTAAGACAGAAACTTTAGTATAATTAAATCTTCAGATAAGTAACATGAGCGGATAACTCTTGTCAATAGGCTATGTTCCTAACAACAACAAAGGGATCTAATGCCACATCACTCAATATCTTAACTCTTAAGTAATGAGTCTATATATGAATCCATTTATATGGTAATCTAATATGAAATTTCTTAGAATTCCCAACATTTTTAAAATAAACATTATTTTTAAAAACTTTAAATTCAAGGAATAAAATTTTCTAAATTTTAGCAGATTAAAATCATGGTGTGCTGTAAAATAAATCAACAGTAAAAAAACCCTTACTCGATCACTCTAGAGACAAATTTGCTTTGAAGAAAATTTATTTTAAATCTAATATTTCACATTCTTTATATTAAAAGTTGTCTTAAATAATGTAATGATGTCACGTTGTTTAACACAGCAACTATAATATAAACCTTCGGATATTTAATATTGAGGGAAGGATATTGTAACAATCAAGTTGTGTTACTACCATGTTACTACCAATTAATTTCACCGTTAGATCGATTATGTTGATCCAACGGTTATATTTATTTTCATATTTGTATGGTCATGATTTCTCAAATTTAAAGTGAAAGCATTAAATATGAGAGATCATAATCATACAAAAGTGAAAATAAAAATAAAATATTAAATTTGAAAAATCATGACAATACAAAGATGAAAATAAATATAACCGTTAGATCAACATAATTGATCTAACAGTGAGATTGATTGGTAGTAACACAACTTGGTTGATACAATATCCTTCCCCTTAATATTGATATTGTTGCATTTTATTTTATAAATGTATTTCTCATTTTGGAGAATCTAAATCTAATAATATTTTTAGTAAGGAATTATGCATTAAATGTTTGTTAATGTCAATATCAAGATAGATTTTGTTTACCAAAAAAGAAGAAGAAGATAGATTTTAAAACATTAAATGTTTTTCAATCAATGATTTAGTGGATCCTAATTTGAAAGAAGTTCCTTATTTAAAATGTTTTTTTTCTAACTTTTGCAGAGTATTTCCTCTTCGAAATAATAACCTATTAATTTCTGAAAAAAAAAAAGTTTCCTATTCGAAAACATATTACTCTGTTAGCATAACCAATGTATTGTGCCACATGTTTAGATGTGGTGCATCCTAATGACCAAATTTCAGACATCATAACAAGGACATGCCTGATTATTTATAGCTGTTGTACGTTCAGGTGAATACTCATATTGCAAAATAGCACATCTCTAATTGAAAACACATAAAACATGAGAGGAAATAGCATAGCTATGTCAAAACTGTCGTTTTTAATTACAGCCACAATGATATCGATGGCCACAATGACAAGAGCAACTTCAATTAACTATGCTGAAGCATTGACAAAGAGCATTTTGTTTTTTGAAGGCCAGAGGTCTGGGAAGTTGCCACCTTCTCAACGCATGACATGGCGGAAAGACTCTGCCCTTCGTGATGGTTCCGATTATCATGTAATTAAATTCTCCCCATTTCATTATTTTTTTAATGGGTTTAATATATTTTGTTATAAGATATAATCTCGTACAGACACGTAAAAGTATCTAAGATCCATATTTTTTCTCTCTCTCTCTTCTCTTCACATGGTCTCACGTGGGCCCCACATATTGTGTGTATTGGAGATAATTTTATCTCATATAACATGAGAGACGTCACACCTTTTTTTTTTTTTTTTTTAATTTCTCCTTCATTTCAACTATTAGTCAAAAGTTGCTAATTGAATAATATATGGTTTTCCAAACTCAGATGGATATGGTAGGTGGATACTATGATGCTGGCGACAATGTAAAATTCCATTTCCCTATGGCATTCACAACCACCATGCTAGCTTGGAGTGTCATAGAATTTGGAGATCTCATGGGTTCAGAACAGAAGAATGCATTAGAAGCAATCCGTTGGGGAACTGACTACTTCCTTAAAGCCACAAAATTCCCTGGTCTTGTTGTGGCCCAAGTTGGTAATTCTTATAGTGACCACGACTGTTGGGAGAGGCCAGAAGACATGGACACTAGTAGAACCACATACTTTGTATCTCGAAAGAGGCCAGGTTCAGAGGTCTCAGCTGAGATTGCAGCTGCACTCGCTGCATCTTCCATCGCATTTAGGAGAATTGATCATCGATATTCTATAGTTCTTCTCAACAGGGCTAAACTTGTATGTATTTGATATTTGCAGTCAATTACTTACTTATTGTGATTTTTGCTACTAATTAATTATTATGTATATCTCTATATGATATTAGGTGTTTGACTTCGCAAATAAATACCGTGGATCTTATAATGATAGCATAGGTGCTGTAGCATGCCCCTTCTACTGTGATTTCAGTGGCTACATGGTAAGATTAATTTTAACGATCATAATTAATAATAATTTCTACATTGGAAAACTGAGACCTAAATATTGCTCCAATAATTTTTATTGATTCTCTCGTATGGATCTTTTAATTTGTTTGTATTCCACCAAATCCAGGACGAGTTGATTTGGGGAGCAACATGGTTGTATAAGGCGACCGGAGAGTCTAGTTATTGGAACTTTGTAAAAGAAAACATACATTCCATAGAATACCCTGTCATGAGAAATATAAATGGTTTTCCAGTTCTAGTTAATAATGGTGGTAGTTTTGCTGAATTTGGATGGGACTGCAAGCATGCTGGCATTAACGTGCTTGTTTCGCAGGTTAGTCATTGTTCTCTTGAACACATCATTTTATTTACAGTACTTATTCAAGTACATTATTCATATTTCTTGAACCTACACATAGGACAGCATTTGACTTTCACCAAATTCATGTAAACTCTAATTAAACAAACAATTTTTTTTTTATTTTTTTTACTTACACAATTTTTTTATGCACTACACCAAGGAAAGCCCAAAAGGGTATTACCATCAATAAACTAAATGATAATCCAATATATTAATAAATACGTTTGATATCGTGGCTTAACCCAAAATGTGAAAACATTAAATTCTACGTCATTAAATATATATGAATATGATCATCACGTAATTTATGTCAAACTTTACCATTTTTACTTAAAGTCCATCTAAAACAATCTATGTTCCCACATCAATTGTTATGTTAACTTCTGAAATCTCGTTTGATCCTTCCAATTTTTGCAGTGGGTGATGGCCGATCCATCCAATGCGAGTCCTTTCATTTCCAATGCAGACAAATTTATATGCTCTTTGTTGCCAGGATCGCCTACCAACTCAGTCTCTTTCTCTAAAGGTATCGTATAACTTCAATCAAACAAAATATCGGCCAATTACGTGTTTTAAATAAATATATATAATATTTATTTAAAATTAATGCATAATCTGTAACTTCGTTTATGATTTATACGCATTGCTTGTATTTTTTTATCTCAATAAATTTAAACGTATTAAAAAAGGTGCAAGCATAAATCAAATTAAGAAAGCTAAAATTAAAAATTCCATATCTTGCAAAATATGACATAAATATACATGAAAAATTAAAACCAAAATTTTAAGATTTATTTTAAAAATAACATATATAAAGATATGATATTTTTATTGAAAATAAAAGAATATGAAGAAAGAAAATTAAGAGAGTTATTGTTAAAGGATACAGGTATGGCAACTAAAAATTATTATTCATGTGATAAGGAGTTTATTTATCTTAACAAGAGTGGTGTAGCCTGAGAATGTAAAAAATTGATGGGTTTTGCTCGAAATGGACTAATCAATTTTTCAATGAATCAATGAAAAAATAAATAAAAGTATCACGTACCCTTCACAAAAAAGAAAAAGAAAAAGAAATTGTAGAAAGGAGAGGGGGATATTAATAATGTATGATAGAGATAAATATTTTTATGGCAATTGTTATATATAAAATATTAAAACATAAAATGATAAATAAAACATATTTGATGTAAAAATAAAGAAATTTCAGTCATGATTATAATTAGTACATGCATAACGCACTTAATTGGCTTATGCTTTGGGTGCTGATCAGGAGGGCTTATGTTCAAACCTGGAGGAAGTAATCTACAGCATGCAACATCGCTGTCTTTTCTTTTAATTGTTTATGCACGTCACATGCAAGCTGCGAATAAAGTAGTATCCTGTGGGAATGGACCTGCCAACCCGTCTAGGCTCATAAATCTTGCAAAAAGCCAGGTATGCAATTTCATCATCATGATACCTAATTCATTTACCAAAAAAATGCACTTCATTTTACATATATAAATTTGATATAATAATTTAATAACAAACTTGATATGAGCTAGCAATACATGGCAATGAAGCACCGACACTTCAAAAATTCTGACGTGTCGTGTCTGACATTTTCCGACACTCTCGAACACTTCGACACTCCCTGACACTCCAACACGCGTTATAGAAATTTAAAAAAAGGTTCAAAGGTTGTGTTGCATTGAGTTTTTAGTTCCAATTATTAAATTCGTTAGAATACGATTACTATTTTATTGAGTTTAATATAAATATTTGGGATATCTTATGTTTTTTTGCAAAAATTATGAATATTATAAGTTTAGATTCATTTTTTTTAAATTATTGAATATTAAATATAATATACACTACATAAATTAAAAATATTATTTAATATCAAAACGTGTCCTAACGTATCGAAATCTAACATTTTTTAGAATTAACGTGTCAGAGTGTCGTGTCGTATAGTGTCACGTGTTCTGTATCGATATCGGTGCTACATAGATACATGGTACATCCAAAGTAAGATATCTGTTCTGAAATGGGTTTTGTAAATTTTATTCATTTGTAGGTGGATTATATATTAGGAAACAACCCACTAGGGATGTCATACATGGTAGGATATGGGAAGAAGTTTCCACAGAAGATACATCATCGAGGTTCAACCTTGCCATCTATTAATGTGCACCCACAGCACATTGGGTGTCGTGATGGAGACCAATATTTCAAATCACCTGGGCCCAATCCCAACATCCTAACAGGGGCTGTGGTTGGTGGGCCTGCCCAAGACGATTCTTTTGAGGACTCCCGCTATAATGTTGGCCAATCAGAGCCAACCACTTATATGAATGCTCCTTTCGTTGGTGTTTTAGCTTACTTCAACAAAGCAACTCATTCTAAATTTACATGATATATAATATCATTGTAAAATAACTGTTTACGTATACGTACTTTTGTAATTGTTGCAAATAAAAATTAGATAAAGGTGGTGCTAGCTCAAGCATGCACAAGCTTTCCAGCAATGCATAAAATTAAGTGGATTAGAGCGGTTAATGTAATCATCATTAAGTGTCAATAAAATGCTGGAATAAATTAACTTCCAGGCTTATTCGTCTGCCATCTCCAATTACATAATTGTTTAGATGAAAATGCCATTTTAGAGATATATTCAGCTCAATCTACTTTTTGATATTCTTGTGTGTGGATGAATTGTAATTTGACAATTTCGGTTGACTCGAACTCTATGCTCTCAGTCTCTCTTTTGCAAAAACTTACCATAAAATATAATTGGTGGCAATACAATTAATTTTTCACTCGGTTAAAGTGACAAAATTATATGGCAACAAAAGGTCCGGCCAGAAAAAGTTTATATATTCAAAAATAATAATACAATTGCTATTGAATATTTGAACAGGTTTGGTAACATTTCTTTCCATTAATAACATTGTAGATAAGAAAGAGATGTTTGTAGCATATTAAAGTTATTATATTCCAACTAATATTAAAATAAAACTTAGATATGTCACTACAGTCACTATAATATTGTTTATTATTTAAAAAAAATCACAAATCAAGATATTTTTCTGTTTATCCTTCACTTATTTCTATTCTATTTCAGTACATTCTCTATACACTTTTAGTAATTATCTTATCATTGTTAAGTTTTTTTTCCTTTGCCACTTTTTCGTGTTTAAAGATAAATCACATTAATTTAATTTTGTATTTAAAAAATGACTAATAAAAAAAGTTCAATTTATAAAAGCAAATAGATAAACAAAAATGTTTGTTGTTTGGTAAACAAATAAACAAATAAATAAATAAAATAATTATCAAATAAAAGATTATTTCGAGCCCAAGCCCAATCATCAAAATCCAAACTGAAGACACGGCCCTCTTTACAGTGCAGCCAAATTCACTTGCCTCCGTTGACGACGTCGTTGCGTTGCCAATGCCAATTTGCAGTTTAGTTGTGCTTACTTGTGATCTGTAAAGTGGGAAAGGGCGTGAAGAAGAAGAAGATGCAGCAGAGAAAATCGACGTTCGGAAGGCCTTCTGGAACCGATGGCTCTGATTACTCCTACCGTATGGTAGTTGATTCAAGTCAGCTCCAATCTTCAACCCTAATCCTTTTTTTTTACCATTACTAATTTATGTTCATACATTATACTATTAAATACATTCGTGCTTAATTGATTTCTCTTGCTTAGCTTTTTAGCTAAAGCTCCTCGAGTTTATGTTCTTATGGGGTGTTTGTTGTTTTGGTGTTATACCATTTAGGGTATCAACTGGTTGCAAAGGGGAAGAAACGCCTCTCTCTGTTGTTTGTCATTGAGGTACAATTGTTTTTATATATTTCTCCTTTGATGATTTTTGGATTTCTATGTCAATGAGCAGCAAATGTTGCGTGTTTCCTTTCTACATGTATTGAGGATTTATCAATGGAATATTTTGGACGAGTTTTAGTGTAAATATGTAGTGTAGTAATGTTAAAAATATTTTAGGCGAGTTTTAGACTAGTTTTTTTTTTTTTTTAGGTTCTTTTCTTTAAAAATAAAATGTGAAGGAAAAAAATTGTTAAGTTGGCCATGTTTTTGTTCTTTAGATAGCTCTACAAAAAGTGTTTATTTTCCTGCGCTGAACTATACCTGACATTTTTTCCAAGACAAAATAGAACTCATTGGATGAAGTTAAATACTTGATGGTTATATTCAGTGATTAATTACTATGTATGGTTCAATTTGGTTAAATTATATTCGGTTGCTCCTCAAATTACAGTTAATAGTGAGTGTTTTTATAATAAGAGTTAAGGAATCATCTTACCGCGGGAATTTTAGTTGATGTGTCTTGATTAGTTCTGTAGCATGGTATTATCTACTATTTTTAATGCTATTGTCTTTTTGTTTGTTTGTTTGATGTTCATAGCCTATCATTAATGTTTATCTTTGAGAATTAGTGAAGATAAATACTGAATCTGTATTTTCTAACTGCTGTCATCTTCTTCTTTTTTGTCTGATATATGACTTGAAATTTTGGATTGTGCCCTGCAGGCTTTGTTTCTATTAGTAGGCGTGATATTTACATTTTTACCAGGAATAGGAGAGGATACTCCAAATACAGTTGCCTTTTCTTCTGTTATTGTTAGTGTCGTTTCACTGATCTTTGCGGATATAGGTTGCTAAACCCTGGGTTCTTTATTTTCCTTTATCATTTTATTGAGCTTTTTGTTTGAACCTTTTGAATAAGCTATGTCTGTCAATTTATTGAAATAGGTCGAAGACGAAGCCGATCCAGTTTGTTGAGATTTTATGCCGTTGTGTCAGCTATAGCAATGCTTGTCTTGATTGTTTCTCTTGCTAAGCATTATTCCCTGCTGAAGGTAAATATGTCAGTGTTTAACAGGATATTTATAAGAAATTTTTTTATAAACTTTCGAGGGAGAAATATGACATCTAAGAAGTTAACATCTGATACTAATTTCTTGAAATCATGAACAAATGTAGGTACTATAATTCTTATTCTTATTCTGTTTTTTTTTTTTTTTGATACATTATAATTCTTATTTAATATTAGTCATCATCAATGCACAGGGATTTATTTCAATCATGCTTTATCTGTACTTTGAATTTTTGTTTTTATTAACTTGAGGGGTTTGGTTTTAGTTTCCCTTTTACCAATGGAACATTACTTGGTAGCAACTCTTGTTTCAAAAAAAATTGGACTGTGAGGGTCTACCAACATAAGGAGGTCTCATATGCTTTGCGGTTCAGTTTAGATTTGTTCGTAATGTATCTATTTTTGTTTTCTTCCTTTTATGTGCCTCGTCCTCTACTTTTTGCTCTTCTTCTGTCAAAGCCTCTTGTTCTAGTTCTCCACCAAAGATAAAAGTAAAAGTTTTGAAAACTTCTTGCAGTGAAGCTTCCAAAAATAGGACATTTCTGAGATCAATTGTTTCAATTTTTATTTGTGTCCCTTTTTGTTTTATTTCTTTTTCTTCCCCCGTGCCCCCTCTTTACTCTGTGAGGTGCACCTTTCACTTTAGAGAATCCAAATCCCACAAAAGCATACCAGATATTGAAGCAAAAACTTGCAATTGTATTATAGAGGAGTAGATCAGTAGTACAATGAATGTCCTGCACTAGCATATGGCAATAAAAGACAAGTATTATAGCTCAATCACAAGTTTTATTATGGGTACGTCTTGTTTTGTGTTTCACCTACGTAAATGCATATAAGTGTATAGCGCAGAGTTACATAAGAATATGGTAGGAAGTTGGCTGCTTTCTTTCAAAATGCCCTTATGATTGCATGGAACTCCTCTACAGGCTATCCAGGATTTTAGTTTTTGGACAACAAGGAAGTTTGATGTTCATGAATTTCCTGGTTTTCAAGCCGGTAAGTTTTTTTCTTTTTTGTAATTCTTATTATTTTGTTCATTTTGTGCTAATTGGTGTTATTATAATTTTACAAGTTGTAGTTGTAACCGGGTTTTACCTCTTGCAGGTTTGCTGCTATATATGCTCTCCTCATCATTGTTCAAGATTTGTACCATCAAAGCAGTCGTTTCCCTTCTTTTTAATATGTCACCTCCTAAGAAAGCCTCTTAGCCCCCCATCGATTTTTGTGGCCAAATCCAAATTTCTTTCCCCATTGATCTATTTACAACAGATTGATCTGTATGACTGTCATCTTATTCGAGAGATTTTGCGGGAAGCTCATGCAAGTTTTTGCCCACAAAACTTTTTAAAGACATTTGTAATGCAGCATCCTTTAGAAAGCAATCAAAGGATTAACAAATATTGCCTCTGGCTCACCCTTTCACGAAGGGAGACGGATGTTTCAGAAAATCACCCCAATTTAATGTCTTATTTCTATTTGTTTACACTCCTGCTTGCTCTACAACCTTGTTGCCTGTAAAAACTCCCGTAAAGAAGTCAAACCAGGGACAATGGGGAGGTAAGCATAGCAACATTGAGCCCACTCTGAGAGTAAGTCCTCTTCTAACAGTTTTTTCTATTACTTAGAATATGATGGAAGGACGAGCTAATATAGCTGCAAAATTTCACACTCAGTTGAAGACTACGAAGGCCGGACTTCACCTTGGTAGTATTATGCATCCCCCCATAAGAATAGGGAATGATTCTTCATCCCCTTGACTTAGAAACAAAAACAAAACAAGTTGAAGAATTGGAAGGAAAACAAAAACCTTTTAGTATAATTATTAAAGGGTTGATTTTTTCTACAGTTACTGCAGATAAGTTATCTGCAGTAAGTTAATACGACGTCGTTTTGAAGTGGAAATCATGATATTTTTGTAATTTTAATTTATTTTAGGGTTATAATAGTCTTTATATTTATAATTTTTTAAGATTTCAATATCAAAACGACGTCGTTTGGGGAATAAATGCAGATAATTTATCTGCAGAAATATTTTTTCATTATTAAAAAGGAAAAATATTTTTATTTTTGCTGTAGAATTTTTTTTTATCACATTCACATAAAAGTGAAAGAATTTTATTATATTCCATTAATTTTTTTTTCTGTCTTCTTTTTATAATGGGTCTCATTTATTTTTATATGACTGTTAAAAAAAATTCTCCAGCAAAAATAAAAATATTCTTCCTTAGTTAAAAGAACAAACTTTGCCCGACTGATTGTACCCGAATTATATGGCATCTTAGTTCAAGTTTACATGTCGTCACTTTTTTCTTTTAATCTTCCTTTTCTCTCATGCCATAATCCCATCATTCAGTAACTTCCACTTTCTATGAACGATGAATCTTTAAGGTGGTGTTTGGTTGGGAGCTTTTTAGCGGATATCTATCTTTCTCAAGTATGGCTTTTAGAAACACTATGTTTGTTTCAACGTTTTTCACCAAAAGCTCATCTATCCAATTTGTCTGGATTTATGAGAAACATAGATATCCGCACTGTTTAGAAACCCAATTTGAAGGTGGGATTTTTCGGAAATCCGGTTATCTGACTTTTAATGCACTGTTGATTTCATAAAGTTACCTAATTTTCCCAGTAAATTTTTTTCCCACCAAACAACTTTTTTTTACATTTTTCTACCTATCTTACTTTATCTATCTTTTCAATTATTTCTCTATCTATCTCATTTTCCTACTATTCCAAAAAAATTTCCTGAACCAAATGTCCCCTAAAGCTCTTGACATCTCCAATATTTGAAATTTATTTCTTCTATATTTCGAAAACAGCACCGTCAATAATAGAAACTGCTTGTGGGCTGTGGCGAGACCCAGCGTCTCATGTAACCATAATTCACCCGCTTCGCAAATAATTTTGCTAACTCTATTTGAAATCTCAATCTTTACGCTGAGAAAATTCAACTGCCCCTCATCACATCAGTCTTGAGTCTCAGGCACCAATCCCACAGTCATATGAATTGAATTTTGTCGGAAGAGTAATTTTAATCTCTTTTTACCCTTCAAACACTTTTTTTTTTTAATTCCTTCCATTATTATTACATTTATTATGGGAGAGGAGTTTCTATTTTATAATTTGTAGCAATGATGGAAATTTAAGTAATAACCATAAACTATAGTTCCATCATTCCATGTTACGAGCATCATGATCGGAACAAGAGAAGAAAAAACCAACAGCCAATTGGAACTTGGAGCTACTCTCGAATAGAATGAGGAAAGATCCTAACTTGAGCAAAATAATTGGACCTTATGATGTCTTTTCACGTTAAGGGCATTTTTGTTTCTCTACCAACTTGAGCTGCAATTTGCAAGTGGCGTTACAGATAATGGGACCGTATTAATTAAAAATGTACGAAAAGGAAAGCAAAGGGATGTCCCCCGGCCCACATCAATTTACAACGTACCAAATAATTTCAGCATCTATATATCCGCAAAAAATATCTTCTGCAGTTCTCAAATCCTAACATTAATTACTGTTTGTTTTGTTTGTATGTAAATCCGATAAGCGAGAGCGTGTGTATGGGCATAAAGGCACAGACAAAATAAACACCCACAGTTCAACGCTCAGCTAATACTGTTGATAATACTGTTGAAACTTGCAAGTTTATACTGGATGGATGGGTATAGTAATAGTACTAAAAATATGCAGGAACTGCAGCATCCAAGTAGATGCACCAACACGAGGCAAAGAAAGAATCATACTCAACTTGAATAAAGAGATGCGACACACTCATTAGGGCCGAGAAAGTGACCCTAATCAAGCGGTGGTCACTGTTTTTACCTTAAATTGAGGAGAACTGAGAACCCCACTGGTCCCAAACAATTATTGGAGCGCGCTTCATAATTTGTTCATCAATGGATGAACCATATCCTTCTCGGAAGACACTTTCTCTTTCTCATAAAAAACCGAGCTTTTAAGTTTACGCACGTTTTTAAAATTTATTCTTTTCTCTAAAATATCTTCCCAAGTGGATTACTTCATTTTAGATTTTTAGAGGGCGTTTGGTACATGAGAAATTTTTATTTGTCCGAAAATCTCAATTTTCAAAAATATGATTTTTGCATTCAGTTTACGATAATATCTGACAATTTAAAATTTAGAAAAATTCAGTTTCCCAAAAATCCCGCGTACCAAACGGCCCTTTAAGTCCTTTATATAGGTTTCCCTTTCTTCCCATTTTCCCTCACCCAACCAAATCCTAATTGGGATTAGATTAAGGTAAGAAAAAGATGGAGACCATTTCTTCTAATCACCTTATCACATCCCTTGTTATAATTCTTGTCTCTAGTTTCACCACACACTCCTCCCAAGTCATTGAAGGTAGCACAGTGTTCATTAGAACTTCATGTAGCTCCACAACTTACCCAAGACTCTGCTTTAGCTCACTAGTAAAGCATGCAGAGTTAATTCAAACAAATCGGGTGCTATTAACGGGAACAGCCCTCAACGTGACTCTTGTATCTGCTAAATCAACCTCAGATATGATGTCAACGCTCTCAAAGAGCCATGGGCTGAAGCCAAGAGAGGTTGCGGCAATGAAGGACTGTGTGGAAGAGCTGAGTGATTCTGTGGATGAACTTCGAAGGTCAATTTATGAAATGGGTCATCTTAGGAATTCAAATTTTGAGCTAACAATGAGTGACGTACAAACTTGGGTTAGTGCTGCTTTGACTGATGAGAGCACGTGCACCGATGGATTCCAAGATATTGCTTCTACGGATGATGATGGGGATATTAAGAGCACAGTGAGAGGTCGAATTGTGCAGGTAGCCCAATTGACTAGCAATGCTTTGGCTTTGATAAATCAGCTAGCTAATTCCCATGGCTAATTAAATCAGCTTAACTTCGTACTATTCTAGTCTCAAGTTTTGTTAGGTTCCCTCGTTCTGTTCTTAAACTCGTGAAAGTTCGATGCTATTCAAGGAAGCATCATATTTGTGTGAATAATAAGTAAATATGTTGCAATTAGTTGAGATTTATGTGTTAGTGGCTCATGCCAGCGGGTGTGGATGATTCTGGTGCCGTGAATTTGGCACTTGTATTGTATTTGTTTTTGAGTGAATCACTTATATAATTTATATCAAGTGAACTTGCTCAATGGTTATATGTATGAAGATTTTCAACTCTGTCTTGTAAATATTAATGATGCAGGGTAAGTCAATATGCCACTTGCTAATTCGTGACATATAGGAATTTTTGTGTTAAAATTAATTTTTCTAGGAATTTTCTTCTTACAAATTCTCAAGAAATTTTTTTTAAAAATTTGTAAATATATAATCAATTAATCCAAAAATTACACTACAAAAAATAAGAAACTAATTCAATCTTAAACCTTAAAACTATTTATATTGAACTTACAACTCTTGAGATGTAAATAAGTTTATACTCATATCTGCAATCACCATGTTACAAAATTGACAAATAACTATCTATTGAAGTGAACAAACATAAACCTATACTTTTAAACAACGTTTCTTTATTATTTAATCCAAGCCCAATATATAACATGGCCTAATTTTTTCGACCCGGCCAACCAACATGGATACACCTATCGCAGCCCATGAAATGGTCCAAGCGCGCGCCAACGCACCCAGGAGGGTGAAATAGGCCTAATTGGATCAGGAAAAGGCCCACATATTGGGTTAATAATAAAGTAATAAACCCAAGTAGTCCAGCAGCAGATTTAGCTCTAAATTACTGATTCAATAATTAATTAATTATTTTCTAATTGAATTATTTCAATTTATTTTCACTGCAACCATTGTTTGGATTCAGTTGTAACAAATAACAATTATTATCATAAAAAATAAAATAAAATTACGTGAAATAGTTCTTAACTTTTAAATATGAGAATTTGTGTTATATTTTATAAGATTGTAATTAATTTTGAATTATTTTATTTTACACTTAGAAAATTTGTCTAGTCAATTTATATTTATTACCCTAAATCATACCAAACTAATTTAAAATCAATAACTAATAACTATAGATATAAAATTAAAAAAAAAACTCATACAGAAAATAGGAAAGATAGCTAGTTGAGAAATATTTTAGTTGACTGCTATTAGATTAAATCAATGTTGTTTAAACGAAGTCCCCTAATCTTAATTAATATAACATTTACAAGTAATACCTTTTTTTGTATTGACCAAAGATATATATTTAGTAAATGAATTCTTGTGGCGTAATGCATTCGTAATAGCGTACTATGAAAACATGTGCAAATGGCATTATTATTTCCTTGCAAAGTAAATATCTTTTTGGAAATATTCCAATCGGTTCATTGCTTCACAACTAATCCGATTCGGGACGGGTACATGATTAAGGCTTTAAACTTCTTCCAAAGGTGGTATTGAAAATATTCGAACACGTGCTCTCACTCCACCTTCTTAGCTCTCATGCGCCAACTGAGCCTTGCAAGTCAATATTGAAATCATGTGCAAACCCATAATTGTTTCCTTAATATTTGATGTAATAGTAGACGACGATACGGGATTTTGATTAGATGACATGTATTTAGACAGTACGTACTATGAAATCAGCACGTGGCATGTGCCACCCCGTCTTGCACGGTGCTTACGATTTATCCATTATCAGCATTGTAGGCTTTATGCTTTCCCATTATGGCGTATAACTTCAAAATACTCATTAGACAATTTGCTTATAAAAACCCCGCGTTATGTGCCTCTTACCAATGCAATAGAAAGAGACAATATAAACAAATGGCATTATTGCACATTCTAGTTGGAAGTTCAATGTCTTCCCATAATCTCTTCAGAATGCTTCTATCCCTTTTATTCATCTCAACCCTTCTTCATGCAGCAGCAGCAGCAGCAGCATCTGCATCCAAGTCCACAACAAACGCAAACCAAATGTTCATAAAAAAACAGTGCGATTCAACCACTTACCCAAAAGTTTGCTACAAGTCTCTCTCCCCTTACGCTTCAAAAATCAACACAAACTCTCTAACACTGACCAAGATGTCAGTTAATGTGGCTCTAAAAGCAGCCAAAAGTGCATCTAAGACATTGACAAAGCTAAGCAATTCCAAAGGGAGCCTAACACATGCAGAAACGTCGGTCATTGCGGATTGCCAAGAGAATATTGATGACACGGTGGATATACTTAAGGAATCTGCTAAAGGGTTGTTACATTTGAGTGGTACAACTACAAGTGATGAGAAATTTCAATGGGATACCATTAAGACATGGATGAGTGCTGCCATAACAGATGAGGTTACTTGCACTGATGAGCTTGATGAATTGAAAGTGCGACCTTCACTGCAGAACAAGATCAAAACAAGTGTTTCTAATGTTGCTTCCTTGACTAGCAATGCCCTCGCTTTTGTCAACAGGCTTACCTATTAAATGTTGCTAATTCCTTCACGGGTGATCACTGCTTGTGTGGAGTTGGTTTTAATTACGTGAAAATAAAAAGTTTTATTGATAAAATTTATTAGACTTGGATTATGTTGGGTCGGGTTATTGGGTCAAACCAAACCCATGAATATCATCCTTATATTGTTTCCATATGAAAATTGTATAGATACTTCAATTTTCCCTTGTGGGGGATTACTTGTGCTCTTGGTCTGGTTGTTTCATATATGCTTCTATAAATATGCTATACTAAGGTTTCTGTAAAATTGTGGCTTTTAGTGAGTGATCTTATGTTTTATATGGTGTATATGGTTTGCTAGTTGCATGATTCATACATACATACATATTTTTTATATATATGAATTTAAGGCACCTGAAGTGAAGTGCCACCACAAGAAGCACCAGCAACTCAGAAAGTTAAGAATAATAAGAAAAAATCCAGAAGGATTTAATTTACCAAACTTTATGATAAAAATTAACTAGATTACCTTTGATGTATTTTAAACAATACATCATATTATTTGTACCCAAAATAATAATAGTAATACATGTTCCACACTGATGTAAGCCTTTACACAATGTGTAATAATTTGCATGGAATTTAGTTGACAGAAGCCGTGGAAGGTATAACCTTAAGTTTGATATGGCAGAATTGCCCATTTCCATGCTTCCTGCAGGACATAAATCCATCTCTATTCTGACAATTGACAATCTTGTAAAGACTGAATACTTTATATTTCAAATCCCCGGATATGAAATCCTCTTATGTTTATTTTATGGATTCTCATATTGAAAGCAAATAGTCATGCTTGTAATTAGAGGTTTTAATATAAAATATATAAGTAAATGCAATAGCAATCATTTCATATTGTTCAGCGTGGACAAAGGCCCTTTCCTCGCGGACTCTAATGCAGTATGCATGAGCTTTCGGTTGGGTTTGTTTTATCCTCACGAAACTAGAAGGACAGAGTGGCTCCGTCCTAAATACAACACAACTCGCGCCATAAATTTAGGATTTCCATTTTCATCACAAGAAAAAGCCATTTTTTTAGTGTGAGTAATGTTTTTTATACACGTCTCTAATATAATATTTAACAATATCACTATTTTAAACGTCCTCGGCTGCAGCATATGCTGGAAGAATCAATTTATTGGATGGAGTACTGTTAGTGAATCAACAGACTTTTGTTCGATTCATGTTACGTTCAAGAACGTCTTAAGTAAGTTATTCCTTGATTCAACAGTAACGAGCATGTCAAAGAATTTTTTAGTTCTGACGGGTAAAAGATCACTAATTCCACACACAATACAGCTCCCAAAGGCGTAACAAAATCAACTGGTATGAATGTAAAGACGTTTTTTCGTAATCTTTTGTTGAGGCTAGCAAAGTACTCAAGGTAGTAATTAGTAATTACATGGTAAGATAATTATACTAAGTAAAGGATGAGAGCATGTGTTCGATCTTTCCCAGTACAGTTTTTGGGAGGGATTTAAAGTTTTAATCTCGGGACCCTCCTCGAATCGAACTAGTCGCGAAGCGATGAACCGATTGGAATATCTAAAATAAAATAAAATTATACTAAGATAATAGATTATGTGAAAAAATAATATATTTTCCAGTATTTCATAGGAAGACAATGCCAAGTTGGAATTTCATCAAGCAAGTTATGTGCTGATGCTGTACATCAAAGAATCCTTATTGTAATCACATTTTGTGGGACAAACTGGAAACTGAATGGACCATGCATCAAAGCATATGTGGTAACTCAAGAAAAACATTCACGGGTTGTACTTGTGGTGTCAAGTCTTTCAGATGTATAGATATCTAATAATCCAATCCTCTGTCAACCAACATCATTCTAACTTTCTTCATGTCTTCTAATCTGCCTGCATTTTCATAGATCTCCATAAGAAGTACAAAATTATGTTCATTGTCTGGCTCTAAATCAAAAAGCTTGTTTGCAGCAATCTCGCCAATAGTTACATTTCCGTGCAAAGAGCAGGCATACAATAAAGCTCCCCACACAGTTGGACCAGCATCCTCAGAGTCCATTCCATCAACTATGATGCTATAAGCCTTTTCAATCAATCCTACTCTTCCATAAAGGTTAACCATACAACCATAATGTTCCATAATAGGTTTTATTTTATATTTTTCATACATTAAAGAAAATAACCTCTCTCCATCCTTCACCAAACCAAAGTAGGCACAAGCTGATAATATTGAAACAAATGTAATTTTATCAGGCTCTACACCAGCTTCCTCCATTTGCTCAAAATAAGCAAGGGCTTCTCGGTGTTTGCAATGAGCAGATATAATGGAATTCCACGAAACAACATCCCTCTCTGGCATTAGATTGAATATCCAACATGCCTTATCCAACCTACCATGATTGGAGTACATTATGATCAAGGAATTTGCAATGGACAAGTTCCATTCAACTCCTCGCCGGATTACCCATCCATGAATTTGGACCCCAAGATCCAGTAATGACAGACCAGCAATAATCGTGGATATGGAAACAGAATCAGGTTTATACCCTTCCAGAAGCATTTGGCGGAAGATGTTCATTGCGTCAACCTCAAGGCCATGATGAACATAAGCTGCGAGCATTGAATTCCATGAAACGGAGTCTCTATGAGGTATCTTGTCAAAGATCTTTCGAGCCTTTACAATGTCACCGCACTTAGAATACATGTCAACCAGTGCATTGAGGACAAACCCATCATTGGAAAATCCAGAACGAACCACATGGCGATGCACCTCTTCCCCGACTTGAACTGACCCAATTCCCCCACAAGCTTTCAGAACCCGAGGGAACGTGAACAAGTCAGGTTCAACACCCTCTTCCACCATTTGGAAATAGAGTGCAATGGCGTCATCATAGTGACCCACTTGGGCATATCCTGAGATAAGTGAATTCCATGGAAATGCAGATATATCCTTCTTAGCCATTTGATCGAACAGGTCGTGGGCGTCATCCATATACCCACACGATGCATACAACCTGAGAAGCTTGTAGGTGATGCCAACATTTCTATGCAAAAGGGTTCTTGGGATAAGACGGTGAACTCGGATACCATAATGAAAGGCTTGCAAATGGTAGCACGTTTCTAACAAAGAAGCATAGATTTCAGGGTCAATTCTGATGCCATTCTCAACAGAGGCTTCAAGGTCTGCGAGGACTTGTTCAAGTGCTTGCAATTTTGTTTGGTTATAAGGTTTGTGATGGATGATGAGTGGGGTTGGTTTTGGTTTTGGGAAAGAAAGAGTGTTGCTTCTTTCTTGGGTTTCCCACTTTCTGAGTTTCCTACTTTTATTTTTGTCGGTGTTCTTCTTCTGAGAGCACAAGCTCGTACGATTTGGAGGGAAGCTTATCTGAGCTATCATTCTATGTTTCTAATTTCTTGGACAGGAATTGAGGCATTCCGCTAACATAACATTCATAAACTTCTCTTTTTCTTTCCTTCAAGCATTAGATAAAATTATGGATTCGCTTTTTCTAGTTCAACTGATAACTTATCTACATTGAATCCAAAACGATGTTATTTTGAGATAAAAATCAAGATATTTTTATAATTATAATTTATTTCAGAGTTATAATAGTCTTTTTCATTATAATTTTTTATTTTTTAACCCAAAACAACGTTATTTTGAGAATTATTATAAATAACTTATCTACATTTACTGTAGAAATATTAAAGCCTAAAATTATATATGAAAACAGAGATTGAACTCTCGTCAGCCTACTTTAACGGACCAACGGACCCAACCATTTATCAACTGTGTCCGATTTTGTTGGTGATTTTTGAAGCTCTTTTAAACGTTAGAAGACTTTTTCCTAAATGATTTCATTGATTTTTTTAGGGATAGGTTATATTTACAAACTTTTTTGTTTACAAACTCTTACAAACTACACTAAGTACGACCGGTCATACTTTAATTATGCAGTGTACGACCAGTCGTACTTAGTGTAATTTGCAAAAAAAGTTTATAAACAAATCCTATCCTTTTTTTTAATTCATTAACAACCATACATAATACTGAGATATAGTTCAGTTGTAATTGTTAAAAGTCTCGCTCCTGAGGCCGAGATTTTGATGTCATTTTCTTACAAAGTATTGTTAAATTCTAGAAAACTTATATATGATTCCCCGTCTAGTATTTTTTAAAAATATGTTTCTGTGTGCCCGTGTATCAAATGTTAACATTGATCTACTCTTCCTATACATTGTACAGCTGCCATAGATAAGACTAGATGGTGCAATAAGGGCACCAACTCATCGAGTGCTTACGGGCAAGTTTGCTGGAAAGGCTTTCCATGCACACATTATTTCATCATAGTCGCTGAATGGAAGAATCTGATCTCCCAAGTTTTGTGGCACTTCCATTCCAAGTTGTACCGAAGCAATAAGGAGAGACAAGCTGGTAACGAGAAATAGAAAAAATAAGTGTAAAACCTCAAAAATCTGTTCAACTCTTCCTTTCTGGGTCTGATTAGCTTAGACACAATGAGAGAACAACTTGCTTGCAGTATCTGTGCGATAATACAAATCAGCATGTAGTCCAACACCTCTAAAGGTTGGACTGACAAATAGAATTCAATTTATTGTAAAATTACGAACATCTTGTACTTAATTGTATATTATATTCTGCGCATTAGCAGCAGTTCCTTAGTTGTAAGAGACAGTTCAGCTCCACCTGCAGGCCATTCTCTCGGGGGCAAAAGCTGTTTATTGCACGTTAGGAACACTAAAAGGAGGAAAGGAAAAAAGCAACAGAGCCATCTCCTGTGAATGGTAGACATGTAAACATCAATTTGGAATACTTCAGTAGATGAGTTATAGAGACCTACCAAATTCCAAAGCAAATCACCCAGGAATTTGGATCAGAACTTGTAATCAACTGGGAAATATATTGGGTCCCCACAAAATCCAAACTTCACCCAATTTCATAATGCTTTCAACCCATTCAAACAGCTTTCATTCAGCCTCGAGCTGCATAGAATGATGCAAATCATTAGAGCTATTAAATAACAAAATACAAGATGTTGGTCCAGATATAGAGAGGCAAGCAAGGGTGGGCAAAAATTCACAATTACATCAACCCAACAAATACGGTGTTTTGGTTTTCTCACTTAAAACTCGAGCAAATATGTCATGATTAATAAAACACTGCATGCTGATGAATGTATACATTTATGCACCAAATAAACGCAGTCAAATCCACTTACCTATTAAAAGCTGTTAGTAAGCATGACCACTTAGAGGCAATTTGGTTGTGTATAACAGAGCATCATGCTTCTTAAGCATTTGTAACTAACATTATAGAAATAACAAAAAAAAATAAAGATATACCTCACATGGCTCAAAAACTGGCCGAACATGCTCAAATATTTGATCTACTGTTCCCACTGCATTGATCTGCAGAGATTAGCTTGTCACTATAATTAACATATAATTCATATGAAATGCAATGACATAGCAAAACCAAAATTAGTGTGTTAAGCAAGAGATAAATTCTTTGACCAGAAGCCGATTTTTATTTTTTAAATTTCCATTGCATATCAATAAAAATTATATGTAAAGTATAACAAACATACAGCTGATCCCAAGTCCAATCGTCATTTAAGTCAAACCCCAAAAGACTAGCTTGTAAAATTTCCCACATGGAAGAAATTAATCATGATTTGAAATATTAGAATATGCTTTGAAGGTTGTAAAGAACCAATTCAACCCAAAAACTTAAGCTATTGGGTGAGGTTATATTAATGATTTTTATATATCTCTAACACGCCCCCTCACACGAGAGCCCACTGGATTTGAAGGGTGGACAATGCATAGGTCCACCTACTTGTGCTAAGAAATAAATTTCACTAGAAAGAAAGTAGGGGACAGTAAGGATTGGACCCGGTACACTAAGACTCTAATACCATGTAAAGAACCAAATCAACCCAAAATCTTAAGGTGTTGGGTAAGGGCCTTTGTAACGCCCGGCCGCTTCAAGAATCAATGACTATCCCCACATACTAACACGAGACTTTTCAGTGTGCTTTTTCCTCACTCGCACACTTCCCGGGAAAACTTCCCAGGAGGTCACCCATCCCAGAATTGCCCCAAGTCAAGCAAGTTTAACTATGGAGTTCTTCCGTTCCGGGCTACCGAAAAGCAGATGCATCTTGTTAGCATAGGTAGTACCAATTAATTCTTATAAGCTATCCCAAACAGTGCAGTCTTATACCTGCACAACCTTTGGAATCCCTCTCTTTCGGGTGTCGATTCGATTCATTCATGCATGTAACCCCCCACTGGAAGCCTGTCAGGAGCCGCTCCTTGTCCGTGCCTCTTTGCACCGCCGATCACTCCCCGCCCACGTCAGTTCTCGGGATGTTACATGCCCACCAGCTTCCGCCTGGTTCGTCCTCGAACCATTCCGTATTGAAAGAGAGGCCCTGCTTTGATACCACTTGTAACGCCCGGCCGCTTCAAGAATCAATGACTATCCCCACATATTAACACGAGACTTTTCAGTGTGTTTTTTCCTCACTCGCACACTTCCCGGGAAAACTTCCCAGGAGGTCACCCATCTCAAATTGCCCAAGTCAAGCACACTTAACTATGGAGTTCTTCCGTTCCGGGCTACCGAAAAGCAGATGCATCTTGTTAGCATAGGTAGTACCAATTAATTCTTATAAGCTATTCCAAACAGTGCAATCTTATACCTGCACAGCCTTTGGAATTCCTCTCTTTCGGGTGTCGATTCGATTTATTCATGCATGTAACCCCCCACTGGAAGCCTGTCAGGAGCCGCTCCTTGTCCGTGCCTCTTTGCACCGGCGATCACTCCCCGCCCACGTCAGTGCTCGGGATGTTACAACCTTTTTAATGGTTTATATTATTTTGTAACACACCCTCTCAAATAAGAGCCCTTTGGACTTGAAGCGTGGATATTGCACAGACCCAATTTTTGGTTTACCTTGTGCTTATTTAATGCCACTAGAAAGTGGAAGGCAGTGAGGATCCAATTCGTGATCTCGTGATCACTGAAGCTCTGATACTATGTAAAGAACCAATTCAACCCAAAAGCTTAAGTTATTGGGTAAGGCTACATTGATGGTTTTTATATATCTCTAACGAAATGGTTAAAAAATAATTGCAGTTTTTGTGTATAAGTCGCGCAGGCATATAATTCTCTAAACAAGGCCAACTTTCCTAAATTCAATTGAACATCCATTGGTTCAAGTGATAAGGAGCTTGTTTTCCATAACTACAGATCTCGAGTTCGAGTCCTGCAAATGGAGAAAATGGCCTTGGGAGAGCAGCCCCTTATATGGGTCCGATAGAACTCGAACCGGATTAGTTGGGTAATTGATGAATTGGTGGAGAAATCCAAAACATTGAAACTAAATATATTTACCCTGTGAAGTTTCCCTTTCTTTGCATAATAATCAACCACAGGAAGATTTAATGCCTCAAATACTTTAAGACGTTTCTTGATTGTATCTATATTGTCATCAATTCGACCCTGCAATAAAATGACCAGAATATATCAGACAGAACTTTCTAATCAGCTGCTGAAATTAAATCTCCAAGAATTTGATGAGAACCTGATTACGGCTCAAAACCCGTTTCACCATCTCTTCTTCAGGGCAATCAAAGAAAAGCACTATATCTGGTTCTGCTCCAATCTGCAAGGAAGTTGTGTTTCCTTATTAGAAGAATACAAGAAAGAGTTTACATGAAATTATTCATTGTTCTAATACCCTCAAAAAGAGTTTTCTGACATAAAAACTTGCTGTGTTCATCCATAGATATTGTCATTTGCAAAAGTATACAGAGGATATGTGGCAAATTTGTAGTGAAATAAATACATAGAAAAATACACACTAGCACAGTAATAACTCAATACCATATCAATTCATCATTATCAAAAAGAAGAGGCCCAAGGAGGGAGGAATAACTTCCTTCAGCCCAAATTTAAGTAATAAAAGGTTAAAAGTCAAACTTACAATTTCTTCAAAAGCTACACGGTTCTCCTCGCTTCTAGGGAAACCATCAATAAGAAACTTATGATTACCACTAGATTCCATCTCTCTTAGAATCAATTTGACAGTCACTTCTGATGGAACAATTCTTCCTTCTCTAATTGTACTCAGAATCATCGAGCTGTTTTGGTATTTTTATTGTTAAAATCCCAAAGATGCACCAAGGAAAAAAATTAAAATTAAGATAAGACAACATCACCCGTATTCACTATTAGAAACTATCTCCCTTCTTAAAAGATCTCCAGCACTCAGATGCTTAAATCCAAAGGTTTCAACAATTTTTGCACATTGTGTACCTTTTCCACTACCAGGGCCTCCTGAGAGCATAAGAACAATGTTTGATTATCACTTATCTAAGACAAAACCAAAAAATAAAAAAAATAATCATGGATAGCATCATCAATAACTAGTGGCACTTTGTTCCTATTAAATACATTTTAGCTGTTTATTAAAGTATTAGATCCCCAACAGTTTTGCTCAGGTGACATATAATAAGAAAAAACTCCCAAATATAATAGGAGTTCATAATCCTGATAAGTAACATGTAGATTTCCCTTTTAACATTTACATGTATTCTTTCCCTTCTTCCCCCCTCCCCTTCTGTTACGATCCCATTTGCAAGGTATGGGACTTAGAGTCCCACATTGGTTGTATGGGCAACTAATGTGGGGTTTATAAGGCCTTGGGCACTCTCACCCTTTGAGCTAGCTTTTGGGGTGGTGCACCTCAAGGTTCTTATCAAATGGTATCAGAGCCTTCCACTATATCTCCCGGTTGCAATCGAGCGGCACTGGTTATTACGTCGGCATTGCAGTGTTCGCCCAGGGCTAGTAAAAGACTAGCCTAGCCCGCGTGGGCGCCGGGGCTGCGGAGCGTTGTGGAATGTTACAATCCCATTTGCAAGGTATAGGACCTGGAGTCCCACATTGGTTGTATGGACAACTAATGTGGGTTTATAAGGCCTTGGGCACTCCCACCCTTTAAGCTAGCTTTTGGGGTGGTGCACCTCAAGGTTCTTATCACCTTCCCTCCCCAACTCCTCTTTTAATGGTATAACTGTTTTCTGAGACCTGTGTTGTCCCAGATTTAAAACATGGGCATTCTCACAAAGTATATCTGCATAATCTATCCTTTCTGCTAAAAAAGAAGAGTATATTATCTGTTTCTTCTCTCCCCTTTCCTGCAGAAATATAGTCTATCACGGAATATGTGATGTTTTAAGGTTCATAATCACACAATTGTAGTACTTCATTAATTCATTTTGGTTGATTCAGTTTTCTTTCAATCTTACAAGATGGGTCAAGCTTAGTCATTGTGTCATTAGCCTTCAGCCATGCCCATTTTCTGTTAAATGTATATTTTGCTATTGCCATGGGCATAATAACTAGCTGGATCACGAGAACAATCAATTAAGTAATTAGTTTGAAAGGTCATGGGTTTGAATACAGGAAACAGTCTCTTTGCAATTATGCAAGGGTAAGGCTGCGTACAAGGATTTCCTCCACCCCACACTCGCTAGTTGGGTTTAACGGGGAGTGGTTTTTTTTTTTTTTTTTTTTGAACCATTTTCAATTATCTTTGTAAATTTTTTTAACATGACTTCCACTTACTTTGAACCATTAATAAGCTTTTCAAGATAGTAGAGACAAATAATTGAATAAATCTAAACATCCTAGATGTCTCAGATCCAATATTAACCATCCTTGATTATACTTTCTGTAAAAAAACCAATTCAATCCAAAAGCTTAAGCTGGTGGGTGAGGCTACATTAATGATTTTACATATCTCTAACAAGCCCTCTCACACGAGAGTCCACTAGGCTTAAAGGGTGGACAATGCACAGGCTCATCTACCTGTGCTAAGAAACTCCACAAAATTAATTATTAATTAAATAGGGGGCAGCGAGGATCGAACCCGTGACACCGAGGCTCTGATATCATGTAAAGAACCAATTCAACCCAAAAGTTTAAGCTGGTGAGCGAGACTACATTAATGATTTTACATATCTCTAACACTTTCCAATATCCTTGGCTACTCATAGGAATCAAGTAGAGATCATACAAGAAATGTAATCGAAACACGTATATTGTATAGAATTCACTGATATCAGTAAACATTATTGGGAGTTACAAGCTTGATAAGAAAGCAAATGAAGGAAAAGTGATATTCCAGAGCTTTCAGAGAGGGTCTTGTCTCTCCCTACACAACCCAATACATTCATCATGTCCCCTCACTCCTCTCTCTCATCTCTTATCCCTGTTATCCCCTTGAAGTTGTTACTACTTACTACAACTTATCCCTCCAAGGCTGAATCACACTTCGTGGGCTTGCTGATCCTCTATGGCCCTTCCTAATATACACCCTAGTGATGGGTGGCTTCCTATCTCCTATCAATTTCACAGATAGTGAAACTCAATTACACACATTATCAACATACATAAGCTTAACTTCTATATCTAGTTGTGGTCATTTCTTAAAATTAGAGAATAAAGGCCTTATCGACCTCAGTAGCTAGCTTCCAACATTAAATATGAAGATAACCCATCCATATATTTACTGTTAATTGTAAATATAGAAACATGAGACATACAGGACTTTGGGGCATTCACAAAATTAGGGTTTACCAAATCTATTTTCTCAATTCTGATTGCATAAGACCTAAATCTTGATTTGACTGCAACTTTGTCAACAATTTAATAAATGCATAATTATTACCTAAAACAAAAGTTATAACCGGGGCTATATGTTTGGGGCAAATCCCATCCTTTTCCTGAATCAAAGGGAAAAAAGAAACAAGGAGATCATTGAAATATCAAACTCGAGACAACAACATTCAAAAGCTGTAAACTCTGGTTATATATAAACATAAACATGAGTGAAATTAACATCGAGTAGAAGCAATCCTACAGAAGTTATTCAGTGCAAATTAAAGCTTGAAATATATCAACAAACTTGTGGTTGTATTACTTGTATATAGCAAAAGACCTAAAAGTGAATGAAGATACTAAAATAAAATGTATATCTACCCGATCAGAAGGGATCAGCCTGATAAAATGATAAAGCTAAAGTAACTAACTTTGCCACACTGATGGTCATACAGACTACAGAAATAGTGGGGTTGGCAAAATAGTGACTGAGAACATATGTGCTCATCCAGGAGAATCCTTATTCCTTAGCCTGCAATATCTAACAAGACTCAAAAACAAAATTCCCAGAACTGCAGCAGTAGCCACTACCCATAACTTAAAAAGCTTTTTTTTATGACCCTAGAAGAGATCATATAATTTTAAATGCAGTTTAAGACAAATGGCACCCACCACAATCTCTCTTAAGTAGTTAGATTACTATCAAAGCATCTGCGAGGAGTGCAGTGCAGTATTAAAGAAGAGGATGTCATGATCATTAATTTACAGTACCTGCAAGTGCAAGGGCAATCCTGAGGTAAATCCTTGGCAACGCCAAGCGTTATGTTTAGAAGCTTCCTGGACTCGAAAGTAGGTCAACGTCAGAATATCAATCAATTGAATGAATGAGAAAGGATATGAATGATTACCATGTGAAGGAAAAGGGAAGATTTCAAAGTAGCGGCTGAGCGTCTCCACATTTCTGATTCTATTGCTGCGGTTAAGTTTCCGAAATCAATTTCAATGAGAGATTACGTCGAACAAGTAGCGTGCGTGCACTGGGTCACATGATCGTGATACCCACCTTGGCTCTCCTTTTCGATGTTTTTTTAATTAGTAGTTCTTATTTATTTTATTTTTGAGTACACCTCATCACCTGCAGACAAATGTGTGTGGTGTTTGAGACTTTGAGGAGAAATGAGGCGGTAGAAAATACAATACACCCTTTGCTAACTAACGAACGTGCTTACATCACATGTCAAACTATTTTAATAGACGAAGACATTTATGGGTGTTTCTCCCCATGTCCTACTTTGCCCCAACGTAAATTTAGATTTTGATTATCCAACATTTTTAATGCCAAGTCATTATTTCACGAGCTAAACTAATCTCTTTCTTGACCTTCTTTTTTTTTAAAAAAAAAAAAGGTTCATATATTCACTATGTTTATGTGCTACAAGCCTATGACATTCGACAAAAACAAAAAAATTAAAATAAAATTGCAAACTTGAAATTGAAACCTGTTCGAAATGCGTTAACTTGTTGAACAGTTGAAGATGGTGAAAATTAAATGCGATTATCAAGGTCATGCTAGCGACAGCTTTTTATCATTATGGTTAGAATGTCTTACCTTTTTCTAAATATTTGTGCCGAATAGTGTCTAATGTTGTGGTCATGGACTAATTCTTGTCCTGACGGATTTGCAAATCCATCTTTGGAATGGAATTAGTACAAAATAAAACAAAAAGAATAAAGAATGAAGTCTAACAAAATAAATAAAAAATATCCTCTGTTGTATGGTCAAAGCAACTAATATCGTCACATTACCAATCAAAAACGTTGCAGACAAAACACACACCATTCAGGCTTTCAAAATCAAAACTACAAAAATAGGTATTCATGAAGGTTTTAATGGTTAGACACACATAAAAGTGACCATATTTTTTCATTCTCTTTTTTCTCCTCAAATCAGTTCACATGTGTCCCATATATTTTTATATGTATATAAGAGATATATTTATTTTCTACTACATGAAAAACTTTGATCCTCTGATAAAATGAAGTAGAGGGCGTTTATTTTTTCTACTTGGCCTTGTCAAGATGGAAGTGAGGATATTCCACATTGCTTTCCCCAAACTGATTTTGTTGGACCAACGTGAGCAATGGGGGCTTGATTTCTAAGTTGTTAGTCGTAACTGTTGGTCTCATTATGCTTGATATAGGTCTGGTAATTGTTTATGAGCTCTCCAAACTTATCTTTCCATTTAGTCAAAATTCCTATAAAACATAGTAATCTCTTGTAAGAATGTTACTGAGAATGAAATCGTCATTTAATCTCAATTCTCATGTCTTTTAGTTAATTTTAGATCAATTAAATACTGAGTTTGTCCCTTGATACATAGTATTTTAGAGACACATCAATATCATTATTCTTTTTTCAAAACAAACGTATGTGACTTGAAAAAAAAACATGTTCTGTTTCGTCAAAATTCTTTAAGCCAAATAAAACTGCCTCCTTCCTTTGTTAACTTTGCTTTCATTTGGTTTATAAGGAAACAAATTATTCGTCATGCAAAATTCAGAAAGGTTGTACCGGAAGTAGGGGGTGAAAAATTCACAAAAAATTTCGAGTTTGTTGAATTGAACTTATCTTCTTGAAATAGAATCGTCAGTAGACCAGTGTAAGAAATACTCCTGTGCAATTGGATAGGTTATAGTCGAAATACTAAGCTTTTAAAACAACCAAAGTTTCTGTCTCTACCACCTTTCCTTATATTAAGAATATGCAGACTATATAGTATAAAAATTCAAGTGAAACCCCAAAAAGAAAAAAGTGCGCTTCATTCTCATCTTCTCACAGTCCCGCTGCAATATGTATGCATGTAAAAGAAATCAAAAGCTACCTAGAACCTTCACAGAAAGATTCATTTTCCACAATGAAGACTCGGTTTCCGTAAAGGATGAGAGGCAGGCACCATATTGACCTAGACTTTCCAACAGCACTGTGAGCAAAGATAGAATATTACAAGAAGTCTCACTCTATCAAATCCTAAGATAAATAAATAAATAAATAATTGCCATTCTAAACTGAAAGGGGACAACAAACAAGAAAAACGAATTCTCGGGCCACATCACATTGTATCTAAAATGATATCAATACTGTGGAAAACACACGGCTGTAGTGTCAGTATTAAAAATGCCCATACTCTTTTTTTCTGGAGATCACCTACTTGAACCTTATCCTTGTTAAAAAAAAAAAAAGAAATACCACATAAAATCGCCGGAGAAACTTACAACCCTCTCAGCTATGTCATGAAACAGATGGGTTGGCGTCATTGGGTGATTCCTTCGAGTTCTTAATAACCAGATCATAATTGATAGATGCTAGCTGAGACAAGTTCTGTAAGAAAACAAGTAATGAAAGAATTTTCTTTAATCCACATAGAAAAGTACAAAGCATCTTTAATATGGTATTTGTGGCCGAAAGTAATGTGATATGAGAATCTAGCCAATGCGACTTCATAGAACCTCTACGTTTAAGCTTTTTAGGGGAAGATTGTGTGCCATTTTTTGGGTAGCTGATATAAGGGGTTCTTGGGTTTTGCCCCGTAGTCTCCTACTTAGGCCAGTATACGCAGAGTGCTCTACGCTTAACCTAGTGAATTTAAGTGCATTTTCACTTACCCCAACCTCCCAGCAAATTTAAACTCAAGAAAGAAAATGAGGAGCAACCTCCTTTTCCCTTTCCATCTAAACGAACATCCGTCGTTAAAGCCCTATATTTCTAGCAGCAACAAATTAAGGATAACTGGATAAGTAACTAGGGCAGGGAGAATGGAAAAAGACAAAAAGAAGCCTTTTCTTCACATAATCAGTAGACCAATTTAGGATACTAAGTGAGCCAATTCTACAATACATTATAAAATTAGTGTATTAATATACCATATTATCATCGCCGTAGAGTTTTTGTATTTACATGTAGATGGTTATAAAAAAATCTATGATGTATATGAATTTTAATTTAATAAATTGACATAATTATAAACATCCATGTGTACAGACAAAAGTTCTACGGCTCACATATTATAATGTATACATATAATGTATTGTAGTAGTAACGAACTATTTCTTTCTTTTTTTGGATAAATCACAAGTATCCTCCATGGAAGGCAATCCTATTCGGAGCGGGTCCAGGATTAAGGCTTTAAACTCCTCCCAAACTAGTTCTTGATACAACAAAATGCATATTGACGAAAGAGAACATCATGGGGTATTACCTTAAATGAGAAATTACTAAATGAATACTGCACCTCAAGAGCTGGACCACTGAAGTCTGCTAAACTACCACATTCATCACCCTGCTTAACAAGTATATTGTCAGAAAAAAAATCATGGTCCAACAGGGCTGCTAGAAAAATAATATCACAGGAAATTGTTCCACATGATATTAAAAATTCAATTTAAAAGGGGAAAAAAGCAACTGATGTGAATAGACTTTTCACATACAAGCTAACTGATTATTTCATATGTAATCTTCTATTTGGTGTAATATATCTTTTAAGTTTAAAAGCAATGCAAATTCATATTTTGTGTTCAAACAAACCGAAACATGTCATCTACTTAATGTCAAGCAAATCAATTTAGGTCTATGGGTAAAACCTTGGATCTAAGTAGTATACCACAGCTAAAAGGCTGAAGATAGTTTATGGTGCATGGGTACTAAAATTAGAAAGTATTCTTATTTCTTACCTCTTCATCTAATAAATCGCTGCCTGAACCACTGCTGCATGTTTCAGTAATGTCATCAAAATCACTACCACCTGCACAATGTTCATCCTCTGGATTCCAAATGTACCGGCTCATAAAATAACTTGTATCAAGAGCTTCAGCAGATGGTATGAACATAGCCTGCAGTCAATTGAGGTAGATCCCAAGTGTGACAAATCAAAAGATATGGCACAAATATATCAAAGATCTAATAAAATTAAAATGATGACCTTCTGCCTTGCTAGAGTATCCCAATTAATATCCTTGAAGAAAGGGTGGCGTTTAACCTGCCAGAAAAATTATATTTATTGTTGCCTTTTGTGTAATGTCATAATTTACAAGTACTCCATTGTCAAAAGCAACAAAGAACTCACCTCCGTAGCTCCCGTTGCACCTAATCTTTGAACTGGATTTTCGTTCAATAATCTGAAAGAGAATACACTGTCAGCCCTAACCAACATGACATGAATCTTAATGTTTTTAAGTTAGAAGAGGACAGTTTTTACCAACCAATGGCATAACTCATGTAAAATCCTTTAGAGGTATCACAAGAGAGCAAAACACTAGAAAAAGCTGTTTATACTATTTAATAATAGCAATTTCGCTCAAATTGACCTTTCTTGTCCTGACAGATTATGTTAATTTTGAAGCCATTACTTCTGCTAATCAGATCAATAATGTGCGTGTCAGAATCTTTGGACCGGATTTTCGTTCAATAATCTAAAAGCGAATACAATGTCAGCCATAATTGACATGAATCTTAATGTTTTAAGTTAAAAGACGACAGTTTTCACCAACCAATAGCACAATTCACGTAAAATCCTTTAGAGGCATCATAAAACTGCAGACACTAGAAGAAGCTGTCTATACTATTTAATAATAGCAAGTTCACTCAAATTGACCTTTCTTGTCCTGACAGATTATGTGAATTTTGAAAGCCATTACTTTTGCTAATCATATCAATATTGTGCATGTCAGATTGTCTTTGATAACACAATATTATTAAAGTTAAACATGGGGCAGTCATCAACTTCACTTTTGTCACAGTCTACCTCTATTCTTCCATTCCATCCTCTCCACATACACCTCTGCATGCAAAGCTGCATAAAACAATGATAGTGTGTGTGTGCGCACTCACGACTATCCATTTTCCTCATCAGCATTCTTGTATTTTTCTTTTTTGTTCTATACCATATTTTTCTTCAGATTTCTTATACAGGTAAAAATACAATGAATTCATCGCACAATTGTCCAACAAGCTACTAGATCCAAAATTTAGTAGTATTTATTGGATTCTTGGTTTATAAGTTTTAAACAACTTGGTCCACGTGAAAGTTTCATTGAAGGATATTTCCCATTTCTTAAGCTAGATAGCTTGTCTTTAAGGAAATTTTGGATGGCATACCCAAAAAAAAGAGCATACAAACAAACTTTTTCACAGTGGTCGTGCTAATCACTAAAAAACAATTAGTCTACACAACAAATTATTATGTTCATAATCTTTTACAACGTACACCAGCAGCAAGAGCATGCTCTCGTTGTTACCAAAAACTTATTGAGCAAATCATCTAGCTCTACATATCACCTTTCATTATCTAAGATTTTGATGCCTAGAGTCGGGATTTTCTAAGGTAAATATGAATAGAATATTGAAGAGACTGGATCAGAGAATTAAAGAATTTAAAAGAAACACACGCTTTTGGCCCCGATAATTGGATTTTCTGTATTAACATGGAAAGGAAAGTACACCACTACAGTCTCAGCTATTACAGAAAGGAAATACACAAAGATAAATGACTATTACTAAAGAACAGATTAATCAAGCTACCCTGCACCCCGTGACACAAGCTCAGTACAATTGAAGAGGTACTGATTCTCTCCCAATCTGATTTCCCAGCCCAAGTGTGTCCAAATTCCCAATCTCCTTTTACACGCTACACATTGCCCCTTCTTATAGCTTAACCTCCTAGAATATTCTAAAGTTAGTTATGCCACATCATTGGTAGAACATAATCCCCTACGACCTTACATACACCTAAATTATATTCCTATCAAATATCCATATTACTTTTGTAGTTTCATAGCATAGCCTTGTTAAAACACCCACAAAATGCACGTCTACTTTGATAATGCTTACTTATTCATCAAATCATATGCTTCAAAGCTTATCTCCTCAGGAATCTTGGGCCATTGTATGTCTCTGTTAATTATGTTATCAAAAATTTGCTGCAAAACAAAAAACCATGAGCAATAGTGTTCAGATATTCATGCATAAGGGGGATTGGGATCAAACCCCCACCATATAATCACAGCTTCCTATTAAAGATGAGAGGAGACACCAGTTGAGCTACGGTCCACTCCACTTAAATGCTAGTAGTATTTGAAATATGATTCGGAAAAGCAAAAGAAAACGAGAAGAAAATAGAATGCCGCCACCCATAACTTTTTTTTTTATATAGTTATTAGAGTTGAGGAGTAACATAAAACAAAAACCTACCAGTGGATGTTCTGCATTAAATGGTGGAATACCCACAAGAAGCTCATAAAGTATGACACCCACGGACCACCAATCTGCGGTTGCACCTGCAAGGAGAGCAAGCGTATATAGGAATGTAAATCAAACAAAAAGACATCTGAAAGCAATATATATATATATATATAGACTATCCATTTATTTTTTTTAGAAAAAAAGGGCTAACAAAAAGCATTTCTTGTATAAGATGTACTATTTAATCAGCAGATAAACTGCAAACCATGTCCCATGCCAAGAAGTATCTCAGGTGCCAAATAATCTGGGGTGCCAACTACTGATTGCTTTTGACGTTCTTCCCTTTTCGAAGAATGTCGAGGTTTTGGTTCATCATCTCCTAGGAAACCATTAGTGGAAAATGATGGTGCTGATAAATCCTCTGTGCTGTTGATAAGACCAACCCTAGAGAGCCCAAAATCTGTCAACTGTAATAAGAGGGAGTAAACATTATGGAGAGGTGACGTATTATTTGGGATTCACTCCAGTTCAATCAAAATAGAATGGTTCTGACGGTTGTATTGCAATATAAGCTCAATTAAACACCATATAACGGATGCACATTGATGTTAACTCTCGAATCGGCTAGGCAAAGTACAATGATTTGAGTAATTCTATACTCTTAAGCTATTTTGTAAAGTTAAGTTTAATCAGTTAATAATTCTATTTAATATCAGAGCCTATGCAAATTCTAATGTCAAGTCACACACAGATGTCCAATTTTATGAACTTTACAATTCAAATGTCCATTCCAGAGTGTAACAGAGGACATTTTACATCTCAATTTAACTGGGTATATAAGTAAAGTGCTCCTTAATTTAGACAATCCTTCCTTCTTAGACTAACTTTTAAAGTTGAATTAGATTCGATAAATTTTCAATTCTAATACTGTGGACGTTTCAACAAATTAACATAAAAGTTCTACGAGAACTAAAATTTATTAAGTAAATGCCACGGCCTCTCGTCATGCATACATAAATACCAATTTTATAAACTAATTTGTCAATATCATTAAGAGCATAATGTAACATACTTGGATTAAAATGGATCTTCGAAGTTTTTTTGCTCTCAGGTAATAATGCAATAAGAATTACCAAAAAAAAAAAATTGCAATAAGAAAAGGTAGGAAAAATAAAGAGACTTCCTTCCATATAAATGGGTACAAATTAAATAACATACATAACTATGTAGACACAAGAAGGCAAGAACGTATACAGATGAGTGTTGAGTGTTTAAGTACATGATGCTGACCTTGATGTGACCATCTTGGCCAATCAGCAAGTTATCTGGCTTCAAGTCTCTGTGAATCACATTTAAGGAATGCAAATACTCCAATGCAAGAACCTGTGGAGTGATGTGGTTTAGAATTTGACCATTATTATCCTCGTTCTTTTATATAAAAGTTAAATTTCAGCATAAAATTGGGTGAGTTTATACATCATTTATATTCAAGTTCAAATGGTTGTTGCGTGAGATGGTGTATTAAATAAATCATTCATATGCTCAAAGATCCTAAATTTTTGAAATAGTTGGTTCATGACACACGAAAAAAGAAAGCCCAAAATAAGGAGAGAAAAAAATACAATTTTTGTGTGAACTAAAAGATATCCTCATTAAAAACTAACAAAATAAAAAGGCTAACGTGCTTACAACTTCTGCAATATATACACGAGCCATATCTTCATCTAGGCAACCTAGATTTCTCAACAGCGAATAAAGATCTCCACCATTTAAATACTCCATAACCAGATAAAGATTTTCTCTACATGTGAAAGAGTAGAAAAATCGGACCTGTTTATCAGAGTTACATGAACATCAGATTAGTGTACCAATATGCAACAACTTCACAAATGTATGATCCATTGTAGGTCCTGCTCACCACGAAAGGGTTTCGAACAGATATAAGGATGTCTCGCTCAGCCAAAATACTTTGAACAGCATTTTTACGGATCATATCTGCCTTTTTCAGAACCTAGAAAATGTCAAGTTAATTTGGCAAGAAGACTTTTTAGTGGTTTCTATAGCCAACAATAGCCAATTGGCAATACTGGACTAAAGAATACTCGAACATTTCTACAACTTCAGTATACCTGCTGTTACTAAATACAGTTTGACAACAAAAATCATGAAACGAATTTATCTCAACTATCTTTAACTTTCTTCCTGCAAAAAAATATTTCAGTTGGTAGGAAGCTGACCTTTATAGCAAATAAATCTCCCGTTGCTCTTTTTCGGGCAAGAAAAACTCGTCCAAATGCTCCCCTGCTTATTGGTTTTATTATTTCAAAGTCTTCGATAGAGGTTCGGTCCTTAGAACAAGGATTAATTGGGCTAGCACGAAGACTACGGACCGTATCATCTTCCACTGAACTCTCTTCATCAGCAATGCTATTTGATGAGTCTACCTTTTCATCTTCTATCTGCCCACAAAGAGATACATATTTCTCCCTATAAAATGAAGTTGCAGATTTCTAGGTAAGGTTTAAGCATCATGCCAGCAGAAGAAAAAAAATCTCAAAAAAGGGAAAGAACATAATTTTTTAAGTTTATACCATCAGTGTCAATAATAGTGGTTCCAAAGAAATGCTGGAAAAATCTTATAGATACTATTGAATTCACAAAAAATACATGGCTGTACAAGAAACACAACAGACGAGTTACAAGCGCTCACTGCAAAAGTTTCTCTATACGTCGTCCAAAAGTCTCCACAATAAGTGCATCCACCTTTCTGTCCTGAATTGCGTATTTCAGGTCTTCTAAGCGATCAAGCATATACTCCAAAGCACTGTAGTCACAGTTGTTCACATTTGCAACAGCACGAGCTATTTCAACTAGCTTGTGTATCTGTCATTTGACAGTCTAGTTACCAATACAAAAATTCAGACATAAATCTGAAGAAATATGACAAAAGAAGTTCATGGATTATGATGTATACATGTTGACAATATGCTTAATGTTTTCCTGCACGTAATAATGTTTTACGAGTAATAACAACCACAGGTAAATGTATACCTGGTCATAACTCTCAAGTTCAGACATTGTTCTTCGTCCACTTAATAACATTTCTATCTGACTGGTTCGTGGTGTTAACAACGGTGATCTCGGTGTCAAGCTTCCAGCTGAAGATACTTTTGTGCCAAGATCAGGTTTCAAGCAGGTCCGTGCTTCATATGATATTTCAGGTGAAAGGTTCAGATCACCCATAACAAAAGTATTGTCAGCTTCAGGAGTAGTGTCAAGCATGTCTTCAGAGCATCTACAAGTCAAGTTATTTTTTTCTAGAGATAATTCATTGAACTCTTCGTGCAAACTTGATGTTGACACTGTAACAACCTCGAAGCCTTCTCCAGGAGTATCAGTGCTTTTTGGTGTGCTTTTTGGTGTCCAGAACTCCAGTATCCTTTCAATAGTTTCAGAAACTCTTTCCAGTCGGTCATTTGCAGTTAAGCCTATCAAATCACATCGATCAGCAATTGTGCATATGCGAGAATGCTCCTCGACATGTACAATTGGTATTTCAACCTCACAAATCCTGCAGATCATCGAATCCTCATATGTTAGATTTTGTTGATCTCCCCAGAATCCCCAAGAAACCTTTCGCGCTCTTGACGATGACTGTGAGTGTTCAGGATGACATGACAAAGTATCCAAACTTTCAGCATTTTCATCTTTGACTAGCATCTGATCCAAATCACCTTTGGATGGGAAATCTACAGCATCTTGACCTTTGCGCTTTTTCTCAGCAGCAGATGGAAGCTTTCTCCAAGAAGACATCCTATAGCTGCCGGGGGTCGAGTCAACACTTTTGGCTGTAGTAAGCTCCACATTGTCAATCGCAACACTTGCATGTTGTTCAACTTGACTTTGTTTTATTACCAATTTGTCTTGCTCTTTTCCATGAGACTTTTTTGACTGCTTCTCAGCCATTTCATGTCCACAAGTTGGGATACTGGATTTCTGCTCTGAAGCCTTCAAAATTTGCTCTGAATATACTCCAAGATCGCTGAGTTGGTGAAGACCCAGAATGTGATCTTGTTCATAGCCACTTTCCTTCTGGAATTGCACTAGGCGCGTGCACCGAGTGAGAATAAACAGTAGGCGTGTATGAGCTTGCTTGAGGATCCCCACTGGTAATTCTTGACGCTTGTCATCCAGATTTTGAACAATAGTTTCGCATTTGATCCAAAACTCCGTAGGTGACATCTTTTCACATTGTCGAGCAACAACCAACAGATCCTCCAGCCTCTCTTTTTCTTTCCATTCACGATTAGACCCTGAAATTTTTTCAAGAGTACCGACCAAGTCTCCAGCAAAAGCACCCAAGTCAGAATCAACTTCTTCCTTCAACTTTTCAAATTTTGCTTTAACTGCAACCATGACTTCCTGCAATATATTTCATTTTGGAAGGTAAAAAAGTGTTTTTAAGAAATTTATGTATTCTCAAATTAATGAACAGATACATGAAACTTTAACAAGTTAAATGAAGATTACCTCCATATGCCCAAAGGTACGATGTTTCCAGAGCGGAAAAGGTTTAACTCCTTTGGAGTTGAGTTCATGAGAAAAGCTCTTAATAATATCAGGGTTTCTCTTTTTGCGGCCACTTGTTAGTCGCAGGATTTCCTGAAAACGTGGGGATTGTATTTCTTTGGCGAAAGCTGCATGATTACCCTGTACAAAACACATGCCATGAACCTGAGCTACCTATATTTCTCCAACTATTGGGTACGCAAACAAAAATTATAAATAACAAAAAAAAGAAAAAAATACAAATAGAGTGAAGATTATATATAACATATCACCTCTAGCACAGGAAGGAGTGATGAATGAGTTCTCAACGATTTAGATTGACTCCAATGAGCTTTTTCCCCTAAACAAGAACAACAATGACATCAGCAGCAGCACGAAATAATCACTAAGCAATATGAAATCGAAATTATATTCAAGCAAACATAAGCGAAATTTAAGAAGAATAAGAATGTAGACCTAGGTCCTTTGGATGGTAAGGCTTGGATCTAGGTCTGGCGTCATTGTCATTAGTCCGAACAGCATCTTTTCCCAAGAAGGAAGAAGCGCCAACCGAGGATGAATAACGAAGAGGCGAAGATGAAGAGCGTGTCCGAATGTGATTGAGCCCTAACGACGACGCAAGCAAGATGGAAGAAACAGCGCGTTCACCTTCTTCTACCTCTACCTCCTCCTTCTCTTCGCTTTTCTCCTCATCGGCTAACTCGCCTTCCTCTGTTGATGCCGCTGTTCGTCGAATTGGAATTGGGGGAATTTTCTGGAGCTTGGCTCTGCCGAGCCGTGACGGTGTCGCTGGAGCGGGAATGCCCTGGTCGGGTTTCGGAGACGGTGGTTCTGGAGAATGCGGTGGCGGAGGGGTCGACGACATTGATGATGAGTTTCATGGCATTGTGAGTGTGTGAGAGTGAAGGAGAGAGAAAGGGGGAGAGAGAGATTTGCATTAAGAAAGAAAGGTAAGAATGGTGAGGGTGAGAGTTTCGCGGGAAGTGGAGCGAGAAAGGAGACAGCAAAACAGGATTTCAGTTTAGGAAGGGAAGCCAGTTCGTTAGAGAATGAATGTCATAATCAACATGCTTCCCGCGAACCATGTTTATTCAATAAATATTACGTGTAGTCTTATTCATATTATAATCATTAATCACTTCTATTTCCTGCCAAAATGAATAGGCCTCATACTAAAAATACACTTCTCTCGAATCTTCACTAGTACGTTTTGTAACAATCCGAATGCGATTAGAATTTCTACTACTTTGCCCAATGTGGATAACCTAAGCTGATAGATCAAAAAGCTTGCCGACTAACAAAGCAAATTGTAACCTTTTTCTCTCTATATTGAAGCTAAGAAAAAGCTCGAGAAAGAAGCAACTTGGAATTAAAATCATTGAAATCACAATCACGAAGATTGGACAAACCCAAACAATGACTTATTAATGGAACTAATTGGAATCACAGAAGTTCTTTATTTTATTTTTTTTTACTTAAATTACTAATTAGCTTCTGGCCACATTGAGAGTGAGCTCTGAAATTCAACACGTAGAAACTTACACTTCATTTGTTCCCCATACTTTGCAGCATCGACCATTAAGAGTTTCAACGCAAGCACTTGGATTTATGCCAATAGCAGGGCTATTGAAAAACATAGAACTTCTTCCCCTCTTTTGAAGTTCTGGGTTAACCCTGCAATCTGACGATTTTATTCAAAAACAAACGCCTGGATGCCCCACACGTTAGGAATCAAGAACCATCTAGCAAACACACAAGCTGAATTGGTTAAGATGGGTCAGCCACTCCCTTATAAGACTCGTTAACTTGCTACTTTGTTAGACGACGGGCAATAGTTTAAAAGAAGCTAGTTATTGGAGCACATGTGAAAAAAGAATGTATAATTAACTATGCTCTAACAGAAAATTATTCGTTTACTAAGATTAGCTATTCTATTTTAGCAATATAAACCTATTGATAAAACAATCTCACTTTAACAAACGGAATCATGATTCAGTTAGAATTTGGGGGCCAAGAGATTAACTCAAGATGAGTTTAACCGTGCAATATTAAACTGGGGAAAACAATAATATCCTAAGAAATCAATTTATAACTTCCAAGGGACCTGACAAAAAAAATTCACAAATCGCCACTTCAATGAACATTTATCTAAAGAAAGGCATGTAAGTGATAAATTACATGCCTAAATCTTGCTTTAAAATGCAAGAATTCTGTAACTATTCTTTCTGTCTTCTTTTTTCCCCCCTTTCCCTTCATTTCTCACTTCGCCAATGACAAAAAAAAAACGAGGGGCCAAGCATCCTTCAGATGAAAATAAAGTAGGTAGAAAACGAAGTTTGTGCAGGAGATCAGGCAGCAAAAGCAGATTACTTTAAGACTTCTTAGGCCTCTTGGAACTCCCTTCTCTTTTATCGGCCTCTGCAGACTTCTTCTTGTCCTTCCTTTCTCTCTTCTTTAAAGCAGTCATGTGGGCCTTTAGTATAGTTGCATAAGAAGCTTGAAAGCGCTGGTGATCCTTTGGTCCAACCTTTCAAATTATAAACCGGTAATATTAAATATTAGACGCGGAAACAACTTATATGAACATGAAAATAAGCGGACAGCAGGAATAGCCAAAAAAGTGTGGGGCAACTCAGGTGACATTTACTTAAAAGATTTTCTACAAAAATTAGACTATTAACAACAATTCATCACTTCGACATAATTCCCATCCTGATTCTTAACCCATTTCCACAATAATAATAATATAAACTATAATCATAATTCAGAAGGCATTACTACAACAAACTGCAATATGAAATACAGTGAACAGGTCATCCTTGCTTTCACCTTTCATTTTCATGCCTTGATCTACAATTAAGTTTTGAAATGTTATAAAATAGGAATATAGTATTCCTGATAGTGTATAAGAAATGATACTCAGTAACTCATATTTTACAGAGCAACTTGTTCTTTTAATTAATAAATCTGAAAACTTGCATCAATGAACTCCAATAATCACCTCCCAAATGCAATTTTATAGGCTTCAATCACATAGAAAATCAGCTGGGGCAAACAGGGAATTCATCCAAGTAAAGTGCCGGTAATAAAGTGACCACAAGAGTATAGCAAAAACAACCCAAAATCTAATAGTAAAAAATCTGTAGAAATTAGGACTATACATTTCACAACCAGAACCAACTGCAAAGTTTTCCACACCTTCACACAAGCAAGGTGTATTACAACCAATGTTGTTAAAACGTAGAGTCTACGTAAAAACGGTAGGGGTGAGTAAAAACGTAAAATCGCAAAACATAAACGAAACGTAAGAGTTTACTAACGTATTAAAAATAAAATATATATCCAATATATATAAAACCAAAACCCTTAAACATGTTTATTTTATAAGAATGTCAATTTTAATCTGTTTGAATTTATATAGAATAATTTTAATGTATTAATTATATAAGTTATTAAATTTAAGCTAATTAATGACTAAAAATATATATATATATTTTTATTATTACGTGTTATATATATATATATATATATATTTGAACTATGCAAAAAAAAAAACATATTACGTTTCGACACTACGTTTGAACCGTTTCGACTCAAAACCCGTTTCAACTACCGTTTTGACTCGATTTTGGTCATAAAATGTAGACACGGTACGTTTTTACGTTTCGACACTACGTTTTTACAACACTGATTACAACGGACAAAACAAGTTTCACATTATCACAGTTGAGAAAAAATTTCCTCCATCATTACATCTCTAACTCTATTGTCCAAAGATCATGTAATCTTCAAAGAAATGATTCAGGAAAAACTCGTAGGTGTTTGACATATTTAAAAGATAATATTTATGTTAATTCCAGTTGCATAAATCCATATACATTTCAATTGGTTTTAATGAATTCATGTTGTCTGAAATTTGTTTTTGAAATAGTTTAATATCAAATATTGTCTAGTACATCTTGGGAATCCGTTTTGAACTTTAGGAATAGTATAAAGATAGAAAGGAGGAGAGACATAAATAAACTTTCATGTACATACATTGATTAGTTTAAAACCAAATACTTATTAGCTATAACATTTGAGCTCATTTTGGCATTAAATATAAATATGATCGAACAAGAACTGGTTTTTCAAATTTGAGTAATTACCAAGCATATAAGACTTTAAAACCGCCCCCATGTTACCTAGTTATCCTGTTTTTGGAGTTTGGTAAACACCCGTAAAGATTTATAATATTAGACAACGAGCCAATGACTAAACCCAAGCAGTGTTCCTCTATTTCTTTCTCTTTGATTTATTCCACTTTTTGTGAAATCAGTCTACTCTAATCAAGAGAGCTCTTAAGTCTTAATTATATCACAAATACGATTGAAAAATTGCATGTCAGAGCCAGACTAACTACTAAAAATCTAGTGCCTAACTAGTCAGAAGATAATCTCTGATATATGTACACTAATCAAAAATTGCATGGTTTCAGTTAAGAAGATACGTACTGAAGTAGAAATTGTCTTTTTCCCATCAGTGGCACGTATAAGGCATCTGTACTCAATTGCTTCACCAGCAGTCGCCAATTTATTCCTCTGCCCTTTAGATTTCAAGGATGCTAAAAAAGGCACAACAACAAGAGGAGGCATAACAAACAAAAAATCAGTTTCCAGACATGTAAACCCAAAACTATTACCCAACCTAATCAAGAAGACAACATTAAAACACACACATCGTTTAAGAGTAACCCAAACAGAGCCCTTCTCAGTGCTGCGCTCGAACATGCTGGTGAGCTCATTGAGAAACGGATCTAGCTGTAGAAGAACCTAGAAAAATCAGTGAAGATAAAATAGTTAGTGTCAGAATGATCCAAAAACATTCCTTTAGCAGTGCTCCCAACTCCCTAGATCATTGACTTAGTACCTTAACCAACAAAATAATAACAGCAATATATTATAGATCAAGATAACATGACAATTTTGCCAGCCGAATCCTCATCCTAATTTTCAAAAATAAAAATAAATCGAAATAACATTATGGTTCTCGTAACCAAATTTACAAAAGTAACGGTGAATTTTTGGGAATTCATACTGTGAATGATTAAAGGGTCGATTATTTCCGGCAACGATCTAAATCGAAATTCAAAATACGCAGAGGAGAAAATCGGAGAAAGCAGATGGAAAATGCAGAAGAAGTAGGGAAATCGAAATTCATATGAAACAAAAGAAGAGAAAGAAGAAGCTACCATTGTTGAGAGAGGGGTTACAGAGCTTTTGGGTGCTGAAAACGCAGTCGTCACTTAGGTTGAGTTGAAGGGAAGAGAAGGAAAGAAGAAACTTAACAATGAGTTTTTGACTGACTACTAAGAGCCCAAAGCCCAAATTACATGGAATCTAAACTATATAGCCCAACAAGTTCTATAAAATTTAATTCAATGGCAAGAATAAAAAGTCTTTAACATTCAGCAAATCAAATACCTAACGCATTTAACAACAATTATTTATTGATTTAATTATTAAACAATTAATCTGTTTTGTTTATAGCCAAAAAATTAAACTTTTTTTTTTGATAAACAGAAGGCTTAAGCCAAAAGAACAACAAAGAAAACCAAAACCAAAACTAAATCCTACACCTCACTTCCCTGGACCTACTGACACCAGTAAATTCACCACGGAGAAGATGAAGAATGCCAGGAAGAGGATCCCTCCAAAACTGATAAGTAATGGAATCATCCGAATCCAGAATAAAATTCGCCAACCAATCAGCACAGACGTTTCCTTCTCTATAATTATGCATCAAAGTAACTGACCAACTCCTATTGATCCATGTCCGTATACGAGCAATCAGATGACACTCGTGGACTGTTACACCAGACTTGGTGAGCACAGTGATCACACTAGATGAATCACTCTCAATGATTATATTACCAAATCCTTCGTTCCAAGGTAGCTCCAAACCACGAAGAACACCCCAGAGCTCAGCTTTAAAAGAAGAGCAAACCCCCAATTTGTAAGCAAAACCCCCCAGCCATCTCCCTTGAGAATTACGAATCAAACCCCCACAAGTAGCTAGGCCAAGATTACCTCTAGCAGCACCATCTATGTTAATTTTTACTGACCTATCTGTTGGATATTGCCAAGTAATGTCCATCTTCATTGAAAATTTTACCGGAAGCCTCTCCTAAGCACTAGCTAAATCATTGTTAATGTCCCTCACAGAGCTGCAAATAATCCCTTTCCTCACATTTAAGCAAGGAAAAGCCGAGCCATGCACCAAATCATTACGCCACTTCCAATTTTTCCAACAAATAACAAAAAACAAATTCCTCCAGCCATTCGTAATCTCATGCTTATCCATGTCCATATTAACCGATAACCAATGATCAACATCACCAAAGAAGAAGTTTGCAAACTTGTCCAAAGACACAAAATGAGACCAAACGAACTTAGCCTCATGACAGTCCCGAATCGCATGTAACAATGTTTCACTCTCCTCCATACGAATAGGACATGATTCAGTGCCAGTCCCCCAAAGAGCAGTCCTACTTCGAGTGAGGAGCTTTTTGTGGCAAACCTTCCACATAAACAACTTGATTCTTTGAGGTCCATTCCAATCTCACACCCACTGCCATCTACCATCAGCCAAACCCGAGATTAACTCTTGGCCAACAAGAGCCTTATAGATCGCCCTTGTTATGGTGTTATCACCATCAAGATCCCAATACTTGCTGTCAGGACCATCATTTACACCTGGAGTTAATGTCCTGCGAAAAATATCAATGACATCTCTCGGGAACCAAAGGCCTAAAGAATCATAATTCCAATCTCCATTAGAGTTAACCATATCAGAAACACACATGACATCATTAACATCCAGATTCAGAGATGTGACTAACCTCTTCGATGTGACTAGCTCACGAAGAGGCTGCGCCAAAGTAAGCCAATTATCATGCCAAAAGGAAACAGTCCTTCCATCACCAACTTCCCATCTAAGCCTCCCTTCCATCATCCTCCAAATACGGCACATATTCCTCCACAAGGAAGAGTCACCATTACATGCCACAAAACCCGCAGCTCTCAAACTCCTCGATTCATATTTAGATTTCAGAACCTGAACCCATAGATGATCTGGTTTGTTTGAGAAGCTCCAAACTCTCTTAGCAAGCATGGCATCATTCATAAATTCCAGTCGTTTCAAGCTGAGACCCCCAACCTCCTTAGGACTCGTAATGGTACTCCAATTAATAAGATGATTAGCTCTCCTTCCTTCCTTATCACCCCAAATAAAACTTCTCTGCAGCTTTTCAATCTCATTACAAACAGACAATGGGATCTTACAACTTTGCATTTGGAAATAAGGCATGGAAGTCACAACCGACTGAGACAATGTGATGCGGCCTGCCTGTGAAAGAGATTGTTGATTCCAAGCATTCATCTTATCTCTTACCTTCTCTATGATCCCTGCATACAACTCCTTAGATGCTCTCCCATGCTGCATCATGGATCCTAAGTATCTACCCATGTTCCTCACTCGCTTGAAGCCACTTTTTTGCGTGATTCTAGATATTACATCTTCACTAGCATTCCTGGAAAAGTAAACACTTGTTTTATCAACACTAAGACGATGTCCAGATACTTCCTTAATCTTTTTAATATAGTGCTTGAGGTCTTTTTTTTTTTGTTTCTTTTCTTCTTATAGAAACAGGTTTTTACAAAAATTCTTATAATAAAAAAAATTATAATGAAAAAATAAAGAGAATAACATCTGTCATTTTAAATGATATAACTTTATATCATTTTAGATCCTAACCGTTGATTTCTGTCCATCAACGGTTATAATTTATTGGATCAAAATTATTAATTAATTAATAATAAATTTCGCCCATTAAGTTTGACCCAATAGATTATAATCATTGATGGACGGAAATTAACGGTTAAGATATAAAATGATATAAGGTTATATTCTTTAAAAGGATAGATGCTTTTTCTAAAAATAAAAAATTCTTAGATGAGTTTTTTTTAAGTTGTATAAGTTTTTTTTTTGAAACGTGTGATTTTTTTTTTAATGAACAGCTAAAATTTTTATATAATTATAATTTTATTTTTTAAAGTTTTTTTTAATTTTGGCTTAAAAGTAATTTTTAGTTTAAAAAAATGATCCATTTGTATTATTAACACTTATTTATACACTAACATATATTAAACACTTGATATTAAGTTTTTTTGAAACATTACATGTTGCTATTTTTTCTGCCTCAAAAAATATCTACAATTTTAGAAAGTGTTTTTATTTTATTTTATCTTTTGAGTTAAAATTAAGAAGACACAACTAAAGTATCATGGTTAAAATTACGAATTTAAGAAAACATGGGAGGCGAGGGGCATTACATTATCAGAAACAGATTTAACTATGTGGTGGAGCTCCAACCATAATTGAGCTAAAGCTAAGCAAAAGAAAAAATGGCAATGGTTTTGCAAACTCACTTCCTTTCTTCCTTCACCATCATCAGTAATATTCAACACTTTTCTCACACCCAACCCAACCTCAGCCTCACAATCAGATCCGAAAAGGCTTCTGAATCATCCGATTCCGAACCCAAAAAACCTGGGTCGGGGTTCGGGTCATCGAATGAAAGTGGTAAAAGGAAACAGAAACAGAAGGGGCAAAGAGAAAGGGCCTCCATAATTCGGCGGTCCCCAGTTGAGAAACCTTCATTTGTTTCGGAACAACAAGTGGGTGAGACGAAGGAACAGGGCAAGAATGAAAGCGCTTTTATTCTTGCGTGGCTCGGTTTTGGCTCCATCATTCTTGTTGAGGGCATTGCTCTTGCTGCATCCGGTTCGCATCAACCCTTGTTATTTCTTGCTCCTTATTTTAATATCACTTTATCTGATTATGTGTTAATTGGGATTAGATAAGGGAATATCTCTGAGAATGCAATACAGTGACTCTTAATACCACCTCCTAATTTTTCATTAAGGAATCCCGCAGCATTATAATCACTGCCTTTGTTAATCGCCACTTTAACCCAAAATTTTAAGGTTTTAAGTAATCGTCACTTCAACACAAAATTTCAAGGTTTTAAGCAATGGCCTTTCTAATGCTTTTTATTTTGTTCGCTAACACAGCCCTTCGCGCGAAAGAGCCAGCTTGAGGCGTGAAAATAGCACTAGCCCATTTTTTGGTATGGCTTGTGCTACAGGCCCTTTTTTTTAATGCTCTCATACCATGATAAGTGGCTGATATCATGATAAACGTCACTTCAACTCCCTCACGTAAGAGTCTTTTGTGCTTGAAGTCTTGAATGGTGAATATAATACAAGTCCATTATTGGTCTCATTTTTTTTATTTGTATTGTGCTTTTCTTAATATTGATAAGCATCACTTCAGCCCAAAATCTTAGGACATTGGATGAGGTTAAATTAATTATTTTATATTTCTCTAAGACATCCCCCCTCACGTAAGAGCTTTTGGGCTTGAAGCGTATATATGACACAAGTCAATTATTGGTATGCCTTGTGCTGCAAAAAGTCCATTTTTTTTTTGTCTCTCTTGTGCTTTTCTTAATTCCATTTCAAAGTGAGGGCGGTGAGAATCGAAATTGTGATCTTGTTATCACTAAAGTTCTGGTACCATAACAAACGTCACTTCAATCCAAAATCTTAAAATATTTAATGAGACTAAATTAATTATTTTATATTTCTCTTGCATTCTTATCCCGTGAAATTTGTATATTTCTGATTTAGATGTAATTATGTAATATAATAAAGTAGTGGAAACTGTCATTTTCTGTAATTAGAAATTAATGACATTTTACTTCTCCAATTTTGACTGGTTTTTTAATATGTACGTGCAGGCTTCCTACCAGAAGAGTGGGACAAGTTCTTTGTCAAGTATCTCTATCCATCGTTTACCCCTACGGTTTTCTTGTTTATTGCTGGAGCAGTTGCATATGGAGTCTTTAAATATATGCAGAATGAGAAAATCACGGAGCAGAAATAATGTGACGAATATAATATTAAAAATCTGAAGCCCTGCATGGTAAAACTATGATTGACAGTGACTTCAATCATACTCCGGCTTCAGTTTCGTTCTATTCCCCGTTGTTATCAGAATGAAAGATGACAAAGATGACAAGAAGGCTTTGGTATCTCAGGAAATTCCAATAAGAACCATTTCTGTTGGATCCTTAGGGACAACACAACACGCCATCATATGGCCAAGTACATGATATTTTTGAAAGGGCTTCATCCTATGTTGTAATTTGATCACTTTTTTTAGCTATATAACTTACTTCCTATCTTAACGTGGTGTATTTGGATTTTGAATATTCTCAGGTAGGTCTCCTCATCAAACTCTAGTACAGCTGTGCTTTAAATCAATTTTCCCCCGAGTTATTAGAATTTGCCTTGAAAAAGTTGGTTTATTTTGGGCCTTAGTAATTATAGTCATAGATACTAGACCATAACCTCCTGCATGCAGTTCAACTTGACCATAACTTGACATATTTGGGTTATGCTTGTCAACTTGACCATAACCTCCTTCATGCTTGTCAACTTGACCATAATCTATCCTTCTTTGCATCATACAACATATGAAATTTATCTGAACTGTTAAGGACTGAGCCCTCATCTTATGCTTTACACTAGTAATTTCTTGCGCATTATTTCGGCTTGTTGAAAGTACATATTCCACGGACTTAAAATCTGAATTTGTGCATACATGTTTTACTTTAATGAAAAAACATATTGCTGGACGTGGCCTATGCTATGTTTTTTTTTATAGAAATATTTCAATCTGTTCATTGTTTCGCAACTAATCCAATTCGGGACAGGTCCAGTATTAAGACTTTAAACTCCTCCCAAATGTGGTACTAGGGAGATTCGAACACATGCTCTCATCTTCACCTGTTTAGCTCCCATGTGAGGATGAGAGCATGTGTTCGAATCTTCCCATAAATGGGGTAAATCTGTGTTTTTTTTTTCTTGCCTATTTTGATTGTGTTTTTGGCGCATTTCCAACAATACCCACAAAAAGAACCAAGAATGGAGATGTCTAGAACCTCCGAGCCCCCGCACAAATCCATAGCCATTGCACGCAGCTTCTCTGATTCAAGCCAACATCACCGAACTCAACCACAAATCAAGTTTCAAGCAAACCTGAAACAGCTCATCACCCAACTGCACAAGTTAGTTGTCTTAAATCTTTCTTTGAGTTTTGTGCTGGATGATGATTGAAAATTTCTTTGCAGAAAAATTTATTGGAACCGACAAAGTGTTACACATCTCTGTTCCTTCACAAATTACCTATGCCAGATTGATGTTCCATATCTCTTGTGCATTTGTTAACTGTCCTTTTTTTTTTTTAATTACTTCCAATCCAAATATTGGGCATACAATTTCATTTTTATTAAGAGTTTTGGCTGAAACGGAAGAGCTTGCGACCTATTGCAGATCCGATGGCAAATTGGCAATTCCCTGCTACTGCCATTATCTAAGAAGTCAATATATGAAAAAGATATTCCATCAAAGTCACATCATTTTTATTGCATTACATCAAATTCAAACATACATCGCTTTAGTGGACTTGGGGAACCAGTGCACACAAAGACTGCTTAAAACTAGTTTTATTTTATATTACATGGATGATCATTTATGCATAAGATAACATATTTGCACATATTATATTTCTCCTTCTCCATAACATAAGAGCCCCAAGATCGTGTAACTCCTCAACTGTTGTGCGCAGTTTTAACCGTCTAGATGACACAAGGATGGTCAGACTCAGTGACGGGGAGAATAGGTACCCAAATAAAGGACTTATTACCCATGAAATGACAAACAGTGACGGTTCCAGGTTTGACTTTGAGAACTTCTTTAAGCACAACGGGATCCATGCCTCTTGTATCATGGTGACACATAGCTAGTGCCTCGGCTTTAGTTCCATCAGAGGCCACTAACGGTACAATGTAACTTGTTGTTGCATTGATTACATGGCAATAAAATACAACATTTTTCAAATTTAGTCTATGACACATCACTGCTTTTTCTCCAATTTTCTTCACTTCCTGCACAATATATTGGTCCTGATTTTGGACAAACGAACTCGAAATCGCCTTAATATTCTTCCCAAGTTTTGAAATGGCGAAATCCATCATTGATTCAAGTGATGTTCCACAGTACTTTTCTTCTCCTAAAGTTGCTGGGCTCTGACAAAATTCAAGAACAGTATATCTGTCTTTTTCCCTCCATATCCATCCTCCTAAAGGTTGTCTTGCTACTCCAGAAGGCTGATTATTAGAAGGTTTGTCGAAACCCAAACTAATTTTCTTGCTTGGATGAAGGTCATGTTCAAAAAAGACAGTCCAATACTGCTTCTCATCTTCGGCTTTGATGGGCAGATTATTTCCGCTGTCTGCACCATTATAGACCAAAAATGATTAATCACACTTTTTTGTGTGGATAATATATCCTAATTATTTTTTTGAGACGAAAGATCCCCCTATATTCTTATAGATTCGACTCTTTGAGCCGTCTATGAAACTAATCTAAAGTTAAAAGCATTGATATGATATTACGATATTTCTTGTCCCTTCCCAACGTGGCATTTGATAGGACCCGAACCATAATTCTTGTCTTCACCCTGCTCAGTCCCCTGCAACCAACTCAACTGCCCTACTTGGATAAGATTAATTACATTTTATGTTGAACTTTTCATCCGGCTCAATTTTATAAATTTATATATATAATTTTAGGGTTCATTTTTCTCATACTACATATAACTTATTTGCATTGAATCCAAAATAATATCGTTTTAAAGCGAAAATCAAGATATTTTTGTAATTTTAATTTATTATAGGGTTTTAATAGTCTTTATCATTATAATTTTTGATCTTTCAATCCCAAAACGACGTTATTTTTGAAGTGAATGCAGATAATTTATTTGCAGTAGAAATATTTTTATGATAATTTTATTTAAATAATTAGAGTATTGAAATTTATTATCTGAAATTAACCAAATAGGCTAAACTATACACTTATTAAATGAGCTGAAATCATCATAAAAGCAGAAATAAGTCATTTTACTAACAAGGAAGCAGGAGATCCCAGAGAGGCTTGGGTAGAGGAGTGTTTGGCCAAACGGATTGCCAGTAATCTTCAGCGGATTGCGACGCATCGGTTCCCATTAGAGCCAGCTACACAAAATGTTCAAATATCAATTAAATATCACACATATCAAACTGTTCAAATTAAATTAAATATCACACATACTACGCCTAACCGGAATTTGTTTCTTCTTGAGAAATCATAAAGGCGTTAAATAAACCATTGGGTTGAATGGATCAAAGTTAAATTATATATTTGTGTTAGTATGCATGCATCTCCGTTGTGGTGTATAAGAGTTTTAAAATGATTTCTGATTAAAACCAGACATTCTTGAACACGGAATGGAGGCAAAAACGATGGAAATCGATGTCTTCCAAAGCACAAAAAATGATGTAACAAGTTAAGGCAATATCATGTGATCGAGCAAAGCAGAAAATAGCTTACACAAAATAGAGCTAAAACGGATAGATGAGCAAACTCCATTTAAGCAATTAAGTGGATATTGTAGAAACTCTTTGTGTGAACATTCGTTCCAAGGTGCCTGATATATATAGTGAGTTCAATGGCCCTACTCAAAATAATGCAGATGCAAACTAAGACTAACTTCTTAAAAAATAATTGGGTTTAAGCATGTTTAGAAACAATGTTACCCAATTTTAATAATAAAAATTACTTAACATATAATTATTAATAGGGCTTTGTAAATATTACTAAAATAACTGATCTGAAAATATTTTGAAACGAAATTATTTTACCCTTACAGTATGTTCTCAATCTTGTCATTAATTTATTTATATCTAACATTTTTAATTTATTATTAACGTGAGTTACTGCATACAAATGAATCATCATCTAAATACGAGTAATGCTTTTTATTCTTGCAAAAGTGTATATCAATCATGCCCCAAATATTTTATTAATAAACATAAAAATCAATTAAGCACTAATATATTTCAATATTAAAAAAATCATAGTACAGGCGCGCATCATAATATAATTCAATAAAAAAATGTATTCGTATAAAAGGTGGCGGCTGGCCTGCTGCTTGTTATTATACATCAAAATATAATTCAAGAAATGTTGCCTTGTTTGAATACTGTTTGTTATTATACATCACAATATAATTCAAGAAATCTTGCCTTGTTTGAATACTGTTTTTAAAAACAGTTTTTTGTTTTAAAAAAAAAAATTGTCGTTTGATGAGACATATTTTGTAAAAAATATTTTTTTTTAAAAATCAAGTTTAGAGAATTTGTTTGAGTTATTTTTATTTTATGTTTTGACTTTTAATTTTCAAAACATATGTTTCCTTAACTATTTTACAAAATAATTTTAAAAATAAAAAAATCAGAATACAATCAACCAGATTAGTTATCTCTAAAAAGGCATATGGGCGGCTCCAAGGCAAGAGGGGCAAAATAACATTAAAAAACCTGGGAAGAAAACTGTATACATTTGGGAGGGAACAAGAATACATGAAGCTCTCTAACAGCTGAGTCGACCATATTAATTGCCATTAGAGAAGGGAATATCTCAGATACCGCTAAATAAAAGACTTAACTCCAACCACAACTTTTAATTGGTCTATTGAGTCATAAACCAAAGTGATCTCATATAAAGAATTAATTTAACGCAAAAGTTTGTATTATTGGGTCATATAAAAAAATTTGGGTTTGAAATATGAATAATGCGAAGACATACCCATTTGTGTTAACAAATTTCATAATACTTAATTATTTATTAATTAAATTGGGCGGGAAGAATCAATTACGTGACCATTTGATTACGGAGACTAGGGCTGGCAATATGGGCTGAGCCCGTCGGGCCAGCCCGTTTAACCCACTCAAGTTGGCGGGTTGGGTTATGAATCTCAACCCACTAACCCAATGTAGCCTGCCCCGTTTACATATGAAATAAAACGGGTTGATAAAGGGTCGGGCCGGGTTGGCCCGACCGGTTATTATTTTTAATATTTAAAATTTTAATTTTTTTTTATACTTAAAAATAAAAGTACAAAAATTAAATTGTCTTTTATTTGCCCAAATTCTAAACTTCAGTTAGCAGCTCCCCTTCGTTTTCTCCCCGTTCTTCGTCGCCGCTATTCCTCAATCCTCACCAGTCTGCTCCTCGTCTTGGTTTCTCACCACTCACCAGTCATTTCCTATGCGTTTCTCTTTCTTCTGATTATTATGCGCAGCAATAGAAATGAAGACGTTTGAAAGGATTTGGATTTGGCTCCTCCCCATTCTGTTGCCCACTGTTTTCGCCGATTTGGATTTCCTATAAGATTGTGCTTCTGTTTCCGTCGTTTTTCAGAGAGAGACCAAGCGACTCCAAATTTGTTTATGCTATTCTCGCCTCTGCACAACCGCTGTTCACAGATTTCGCCACTCACAAACACTGTCGTGCGACGTTCCTAGGACAGGTTATTTTGGGTCTTTGGTTTTTTTTTTTAAGAAAAAGCTTTGTTTATTATTATTATTATCATCATCAATAATAAATTACTAAAAAAGCATTTGTAATTTGTAATTACTAAAAACTGAAAAAGTTGTTTCATTTTTATTTAAAATTCGTGACTCATGAAGCCACTGGTTGCGATTGGACATGAATTGCTTGGTTTGGCGTTTGAGCTTGTTCTAGGGATGTCCATCAATTCACCGGAATGGTCGAGCTTTTACTTATTGTTGATTTTCACTGTGGAAAATTATTGTTTACTAAGATTTAGTTTAGTGTTTCACTTGGTGGGTGAGGGATAAGGGAAACTCAATTGGGTATTATTCGTTTCTAATTCTCGTTTTGTTTGTTTCCTTGTAATTTGATTTATGCATTATTTGGGTATATAGTTTGTTCCTTGTTATGCTGGCCTTCCCGTTAATTTTTAGTTACTGATAACGATGACTTATGGTTAATTAACAGTTTGTAATTTGTGTTTTTTATGCAGATTTTTATGGGTTTTTTTTATTTTAGGATTTTTTTTTAATTTGGGCGGGCTGGCCCGCAGCCCGCCAGCCCATTTGTAAAACGGGATGGGTTATAAAGTCTAGCCCATTTTGTCAAAACGGGACGGGTTGGCCCGCCCCGTTTTTGGCGGGCCGGGGCGGGCCAGCCCATATTGCCAGCCCTAACGGAGACTCAAATACTATATAAAGAATCAATTCAATTCAAAAAAAATTATAACTATTAAATGAAGGTATTTTTAATGGTTTATATTATTCTCTAAGATTTACTTTCATGACATCATGCTGAACAATTATAGTTTTAGCTAAGAATTTCTTTGAGAAATTTTTGGTACCCTTCCCTCGTTCATGGAAGCTAATTTTAGGTCTTTCAGATCACATGGTCCATGTATCATAAATTTTGTGTTAAAAAAAATGACACATAAAAAATTTCCGTGGAGTTTGTGTTGTTGTATTTGTGTTTTTTAATTTTTTTAATTTTTTTTGTCAATTAATGTTTTGATCCCAAATTTGTGTGTTGTGTTATTCATGATGTGTCGTGTCAATCCGCAAAAAAATTTGTGTAATGTTCGTATTGATGTATTCATGTGGTATCAAATTCGTGTCACGTGTTTTGACACCTCTACTCGAGATAATGGAGCAGTAAGACTCGTATCCTGTAAAAATGGCGCACTTGAGTAGAAGAAGAGAACAAATATCCCCCCTGTAAAGGGGTACATAGCATATGGGAAGTATTGAAGACAAGGAGCCAAACAACAAGGAGACACCACCACCATGTGAGATACGGATTTTCTCCTGCAAACAGCTGGGTTATGTCAGCGAAAAAAACTTCAGCACCAACCCATTCAATCCAGGAAGCACTTCAGCATCAACCCATTCCGTCGAAGAATCATGACAGCTCATCACAACTCCACCAGCAGCTCATAAGCTAACACAAACGGCCCAAATGTTGGTTTTCCATTACAACTGCGACAGATAGAACCTCCATGCCTACGTGACATGCATGATTAAATGTTCATATGTCTCACTGTTTTGTCCAGCAATAATAAAAAGTTCCTCTTGAAGTTGGAACCATGATTGAGAGACACATGAAAGCTCCTATAATAACGCTATCGGCATGGGCAGGAAATGAAAAAAAAGAAGGAAAAGAAACAATAATTGGAAATGGGAAGCCATGTGAGAATAATTGAAGAAAGACCATAATTCTCTATAAGAGGAGAACCCATCGAAAAGCTGAGGGGGGAGAATGAATGCTTCAATACTTTCCGCTGTTAATATGGTATCAGAGCTCTGACTAAGAACTCTGGTATTCATCTGAACCTTTCTGTTTTCTTGTTTCTCTTCTCTTATCTTTCCTTTCGATTCTTGTTCATCTTGTGTCTTTCCAGTCATTTTTCCTTCATCACAAAATGGCAAATGCTCTTCCAGATTACTTGACAAATCCAGGAAATTCGTTCTTCCTCCATTCTGGTGAAAATCCTGGATTGATTCTTGTTTCAAGTCTTTTCGATGGAAAGAACTATTACTCATGGTCTCGTGCTATGAAGATGGCACTTCGCTCGAAGAACAAATTGGGATTTATTGATGGTACAATTCCAATTCCCAATCCTACAGATGCAATGTATGACCCATGGCAAAGATGCAACATGATGGTTTTATCATGGATCCATCGATCAATAAACTCAAGCATTCTACAGTCAGTTTTATGGACAGAGAATGCAATAGATGCATGGAATGACCTTTCTCAAAGATTTTCACAGGCAGATGCATTCAGAATTTCAGATCTTCAGGAGGAGATATATCGCATTTATCAAGGTGAACGTTCTGTATCTGATTTCTATACTCAAATCAAGGCTCTTTGGGATGAGTTTGAGACTCTGCAGCCTCTCCCAACATGCATTTGCACTGTGCCATGTGGATGTGGCTTATCAAACCGAGTAAGAGAAAGAAGGGAGAAAGATCGTGCCATTAGATTCCTTAGAGGACTCAATGAACAGTTCTCAAATGTAAGATCTCAGATTATGCTTATGAAACCATTTCCATCTGTAAATGAGATTTTTTCTTTGGTGAGTCAGCAAGAAAGACAGCTTAACAATGAATCACAATCTGAGTTGAATGAAGGTCATAAAATTCTCACAAACACTGCAGTACAACAAAATTTTGTGCCACGTGGTGGGTTTAACAACTCATTTCGTGGCCGTGGACGTGGATCTAATAATGGTAGAGGCCGTGGAAATAGGTTATGCACATACTGTGGGAGAACCAACCATACAGTGGAAACCTGTTTTGAAAAACATGGTTATCCACCAGGTTTTGAAAGGAATAATTACTCATCAGGTTTCAAGCAGCGAAATCAAGTGAAGGCTGCTAATCTGATAATGCAAGAGGCAATGACTGATGGAGCTGACAAAGAAAGCAGTAAAGAAGCTGATGTGTTCTCTCAAATGCAGTATGAAAGGATCTTGAATATGATCCAATCCTCAATGAATGTTCCAACTGATACACATGTATCCAATCTTGTTCATG